AGTGGCATTTTGATTCCTTTTTCAAAAATTCTTAGCTGTTATCGAGGCGCCTGGGTGACTCAGTTGGTTAAGCGTCCAACTTTGGCTGAGGTCGTGATCTCAGGGTTTGTGAGTTCGAGACCCGCGTAAGGCACTGTGCTGATAGCTCAGAGCCTGAAGCCTGCTTCAGTTTCTGTGTCTCCCTCTCTCTCTGCCCCTCCCCTGCTCATGCTCTGTCTCTCTCTCAAAAATAAACATTAAAAAAATAATTTAAAAATTCTTAGCTGTTATCAGATAGGTTCTAGAAATTTCCCTCATGTGCTGCATTGTCGCTTATCAGATTACCCTCTGTTCTTCACCCTTCTCTTGAAGGGGTGACCAGTTCTTACCTTGGTTCTGGGTCCGCTGCACATCTGCAATCCATCTTCCTCACCAATCAGTGTCTTTATCACAATTTAACAAGAAGATATTTTCAGTTAGCCATGGGAGACACCTGGGTTTACATTCTTCTCAGCTCTGACCTCCTCAAGCACATGAGAATCTGAAAAGAAAACCGGTAAAATCAAAGAGCAGCGAGAAATTGTGGACTCCAGTGAAATCCATGATCTCCTTCTGGAAATCAGGATAATTTTTCTGTTACTTTGCCTTGCTAAGATTTCCACCTCTTCTGATAAATGCCTTGTTAGCACCTTTTATGAACTGAAAATTTGAATTCACTTTTCTTTAGCAACTAAAGGAAATTCTCTTGCCTCTGCTAGAAAGTTGAGAGTTACAAAACTTCTGTCTACATCTGAAGCTGTAGACAAGTTTGTATCTTTTCTACCATAGCATCATTTTAAAAGCCATTTAAATAGAAAACACATTTGAAAGCATACAAATCTCCCCTCAGGGTTATTTTACTTTTTAAATGAGATGAGGAGAGGGGGGAATCATTGTGTTCTGAAGAGAACATTTTCCCTGTCTGATCACAAGGGGTAGAAGAGTATGGGAAAGATATCTGGGGCTTTTGACTCCATCTAACCTGGCTTGGAATCTGGATTCCACCATTACTGTTTCTTACGAGCTTCCACTTCCCCACCTGTGAAATGGGAGTTATGATGCTATGATAATCTGTGGGCAAAGAGACCAATTAGACTTAACCAGGGTAGAAATGAAGGCAGCAACTTGACTATAAGATGTTCATACCCTTTTCTCTTTCTAACCCATGATTTGGAAGGAGAGCAAATGGTAATGAGTAGGTCATAACAAGCCCATGAGGCAGCCAACCAAAGGTTAGTGGTAGTTGTAAAGTGTAAGGGGAAGAGCTGGAGCCTTAGAATCAGATGACTTTGACTCTTGACTGCTCATTAGCTGAGTTACCCTGGGCTAGTTATGTGACTTCTTTGAGTGTTAATATTCTCTTGTGTAGAATGGAGACCATTAGGTCAGCCTTCTTATGTTTCAGAGCTGTTGTAATCATCAGACGAAGTAATGAAGTACGTTTTATAAACCAGAGCCTGTGATCTGGCTGTGGAGGGCCATGGGGCATGAGTACTCATTGGAAGGTGCTAGAAGCACCTTCGTCCCTTCAGGTCCAGACACCCATTGGTGAAAACATATATCTTTGGATGCATCTAGGATGAAGTAGGATTACACATGGCATTAGACAGGGCCTTTGTTGCAAAGAGTTGAGATACTTTTTCGGGAAAAATGTTTTCCTAGATGTCTTTAAAGGTACGAGTTATGCCTGGTTAGGAAATTTCACTTATATGTGCAACTAGAGAAAGGCAAAAGTTGAGGTAGGGGAATTTTTATTGGAAACAATGAAAGGCCTAATGAAGTAAGACAGGACGGGGGCGGGACACCACGAAGTGGAGGGAAGGAGTTTGGAGACCAGAGCAGGATTTCCACGCACCATTATTAAACCTAATAATTCAAGGTTCAGCGTTTGGGGAAGAAGAATCCGCCCTTGTGCTACAGTGGAAAACCTCCAAGCATTGACTTTCAGAGAGCCTGGGGTTCCTCTGGCCCAGCTTTTGACTCTGGTGTTTTGAAGGAGGAATCCTACTATATTTTCCATATGTGCCAGGAGTCTAAATGGATATGTCTTCTTTCAAATACCTCCGTGATGATAAATGTGTGCGTGGGACCTGGCTGGGCTGGGAATTCCTTTGAAATTCCTGTTTCTGATTGCTCTCCACGGCCCGGAGAAGGATACTGGCCACATTTGGGTATGAAACTCTTGAACCTCGCCGTGTTCTCTGGTCCCTGGAGGGTCATGTTCCGTTTGAAAAGAACTAAAAAAATGAGGGCTGTTTTTTCACTTGGGATAAGAACATCCTTCTCAGGGCGGTGAGGGCTCTGTGAGAGTAACGGGATCCATATGTCGAAGCTGGCTGCTGACGCCCAGCATATGGGCCAGTGAACCTTTCAGGCAGAAATATGGCTCTCATTCTCTCAAGAATGCCCCGGTAAGCTCCAGCAAACACCATCACTTAGGGGACAGGCGGCAGAGACACAGCTCCTGGGCTTTCATGGACCCGTGGTTCCGTGGAAAGTGAGCCACAGACAAGGATGGAAGGTCTTGGCTGGCCTTCCAATGGATGGCTCTGGCCTCCAGCCCTCTCTTGTCAGGCCCTGTGCACACCACCCCCCCCAAATACTAAGGGCCTTGCTAGCTCTGGGCTTGCTCTGTTTTCTTAGGGGATGGTGAGTCCGAGGGTTGTTCCTCACGATCTCCAGATTGTTCCGTAAGCAGATTGCACGGAAACATTTTACCCTGTACTTGCAGAGGAAGCACCGCATGATGGAAAGGACATTTACCTGGGAGCCAGGTGGCCTGGGCCCTGGGACCACCACAACCACCCTGGCCCTAAATCGAGGTGACCTTAGTGAAGTCATTTTACCTCTCTTTCTCATCCAGGAAATGAGGAGGTGGACCCTGATGCTGGTTGAGACTCCTCCTGGCTCCCTCTGTTTAGAACTGGGGGAGCTCAGTCACTTAAGTGTCTGACTTTGGCTCAGATCATGACCTCACAGTTTGTGGGTACGAGCCCCGCATCGGGCTCTGTGCTGACAGCTCAGAGCCTGGAGCCTGCTTCAGATTCTTTGCCTCCCTCTCTCTATGCCCCTCCCCTGCTCATGCTCTATCTCTCTCTCTCAAAAATAAATAAACATTTTGAAAAATTTTTTTAGTCTTAAAAAAAGCGCACCTAGCTCTGTCCAGAGGAGAGTGACAGTAGCAGCCACAGGCAGGCAGACTTGCAGTGTTGGGTTCCTTTGCAGCTCTGTGTGTGTGCTGCGTGGCAGTTCAGGAAAGGGGGAAGCTCTTTCCTGGCTCCCAGTGAGGATTCCATCTAGGCCCTGATGAGTCATCAGCCATAAACCTGGAGAGGGACAGCCCGCCTGCCCCCGATTACTACTGCATTTCCTCCAAACCAGCACCTGGGAAGTCTGACCTCCCCTCCTGCCCTCACGGTGGAGCGATCAGCATCCTCTCCCTGCCTGAACTCCTCCCTCGGGCCCTGGCTCCTCTGCTGGTTCTCCGCGGTCTGCTTTGTCCATTGTGGGTGGTTGGCAAGGCCCTTCCCCTGGTAGCTGGATGTCCCCAGGCTCCCCTTACGCAGCCCCGTGCAGGCCCTTTGATCCCTGCTCCACTGAGTGCACGTGGTCCCTTCATCACGGGAACACAGACAGCAGCTCAGCCTGGAGTCCGTCTCCATGGCAACCAGCATTCCCTCCAGGTCTGCTGTGCAAAGAAAATGGCTGTTCTAAGGAAGGGCTCACTGAGTCTCTATTACCCAGCCTGTTTAGTCCAGGCCCCTCCTCCATATCCGCTCTAGGAAGCTACATGCATTGAACCAAATGTCCGTTAGCTCTTAGCTCTCGGATTTACTTTACCTAAGAGGAGGGGAGGCAGAAGGAGGTTGAATCCAAATGGATAAAAGCATTTTCCCCCCTACCCTAAAACTATATTTTCATGAGAAACGGTTATCTGCTCCGAGCAGATGAACGAAGAACTGAATGTATAGAGCAATCTATGGGCTCCAGGGCAGTGTATTTTGTCTTATCGGTGGAGTAGAATGACGGAGCATGTGGATACTCAAATAAAAATTCCATGCGAGTCGCCAGGAGATACAGGGAGGTCCGCAGGGCAGAGACGACAGCATTTCAGAGGAGTGACTTCTAATTGTAGCGATGGTGTTGGGTGCTGTCTCCTCTTACGGAAAGAGGGGTGTGGGTCCCCTTGTCATGAGGTAGGGCGAGCATTTTGGCATCTTCTGTCTAAAACTCCATCCAGACCATCACAGTGAACCATTTTCCATAGTCATCAAGCATGGGGACAGGGGGAACTGGCAGAAGACCCTGCACAGATGTCTGGAGTGGCAGGCTTCCCTCGTCACACAGCCTTGGGGACGCTTCAGGTTGACATCCAAAAGCAACTCATCTGTTATTTCTGTGAACCCCAGGAGTGCTGCTGTTTGGAGCAGGAGCCTTCTCAAGAGGTCAGAAACATGTAGAGCGAGGGTCACCCCAAATCCCTCAGGGGACCGAGCTCTCATACTGTCTGATAAGGGAAAGAAATTCCACAGGAAATGGTCCGGATCCTGCCCACTCCTGGCTTCGCCATAGGAACTGGGGATTCTCTGGTGCTGACAAGCTGTCCACCCAGACAGCATCTTCCTTTCACTCTTTTTTTCCTCCTTTTTTCCAAAACAAAAAAAATTTTAATGTTTATCTTTGAGAGAGAAAGAGAGAGACAGAGTGCAAACAGAAGAGGAGTGAAGAGAGGGGGAGACAGAGAATCAGAAGCAGGTTCCAGGCTCTGAGCTGTCAGCACAGAGCCCAACGTGGGGCTCAAACTCAGCAGCAGTGAGATCATGACCTGAGCCAAAGTCGGCCGCTCAACCGACTAAGCCACCCAGGCGCCCTGGGCTTCATTCTTTCTTAACATGAGTTGGAAGACCCTGTTTTTGAATGAAAGCTCTGGGTTTGGTTCTCAAAAATCCTCACGTGTTTCAACTGGACTTTGTCTTTTTCAGCTTCTCTGCAGGTGGATATTGTCCCCAGCCAAGGGGAGATCAGCGTTGGAGAATCCAAATTCTTCTTATGCCAAGGCAAGTGCCCTGTGCCCCCGCTGCATTTGAGGAAAGGCGGCCAGCAGAGCCGAAGCCAGTGGCCTGTGCGTGCTGGGACGGCCATGCCCAGAACTGCCCTGCTGAGGGTTGAGCGGTGTGAGCGGATGGGCAGGGAAGCCCTCGGACCCTCTTCCTTCCCTTCTCCAAGGGCCGCCCCAACACAGTGAGATGTGTCATCTGGACTTCTTCTTGGTGATGGAGGATGTCTAGGGATTTTCCGAGGAAGGTCTGGGCACAAATTCCCAGAATAGCAAATCACCGCAGATCCCTTGTTCCGTATCCAGCCAGAGTTCTGTAAATGATGACGGGGAATAGCACTGCCTCAGAAATAATGGTTCAGTGGGTCAGCGTAAGGCTTATTTCTTAGAATCTGCCAGAACAGGAAATTCCGAGAAGGTCTGAAACTTGCCTGGAAGGAAATGGAGTGCCAGTGTCTCTTTTGCTATGAGGCCATGGGTCCTGGGTTTTCCAGATCGGTCGTGAACACCTGTATTCTGTCCCTTTGCCCCACCTCCACCCCCACCACCAGAGCTCTGGGGTTTGTTGGACCTGGTGTCCTTGTGTTTTGTTCAGAAAACAGGCCCCGTTTCCATAGCTCAGATCGTCATCAGGAAATGTGGAGGAAAAGCTTTGTGATCAGGCTTTGGGTTCTCTGTTTGGGACATGACTGGGACTCAGATCATGGAAGGACCAGGGACGTGGAGCTGAGCTGGGTGTAGACTGACCTGGGTGTAGACTGACCTCGAGCAAGCAGCATTGGGCAGGGAGCGGCCTTTCCGTGTGATCACGATTTGCATTGGCCAAGGTGCTTTGTGGCCGTCAGATGTGTTCGCTCTGGCTTTGCCTTCATTACAACGATATAAATGATCTGGAGATGCAGCCACGGAGCCCACAGCACATCTTGCAAATAGCGATATTTATTGAAACCATGATGGGCCCTGAAAGGAAGGCTGCCTCATTTCCATACTAAGCATCTATGTGGGGCCAGGCGGTATGTCCCGGGGAAGGGCGCTGTGCAGAGAGGCGGGGCCTGGAGCCCGTGTTCTGGCTCAGAGTAGGAGACGGCTAAGCAGCAGCATCTGCCCCTCCTAGGGGCCCAGGGAACACATGTATGGCTGGTCCTGGCTGCCTTCTTCACAGCATTTAAGGAGATGAATTTGTCTGTCTGAGACAAGTACTGAAATGACAAGCCAGTGTGTGCTGGCAGATGCTAGAATAAAATTGGTTGGCATCCATACTTCTAGACTAGCTGGTGTCTCATCATCCTCTCTGGAGACTAATCTAAGCCCTCTAAGTTCAGCTGATCAGTTGGCTCAGACCAGCTATGCCCATGAGCTCGGATCCTAAACACTAACTCCCTTTGCTCCCCTTCTGTGGGACTGTAGCTCCTCATTTAGAGCTCGGCGCACAGTAGGTCCTCAACAAATGCCCCTTCTCTTCCCTCAGAGGCTACTCGGAGAAATACTGGCACAAGGGGTGGTTGAGTTCTTTCCAATTACCGTAAGGGGTGTCGTGTACATAACAGTGAAGCCCAGAAGCTCGAGTTGGGTTGTGACGCGTCCTAACGTAGATGGTCTCCCTCCCTGATCATCGAGCCCAGGGACCTCTCGTTCAGTAGCTCTTACTGAGAACCCACTGTCACCTTGGAGGGGACTTCGTCTTTTCAAATTAAGTGGTTTGAAAATAATCTCTTCCTCTTTAGTGGCCGGAGATGCCAAAGATAAAGACATCTCCTGGTTCTCCCCCAATGGAGAAAAGCTCACCCCAAACCAGCAGCGGATCTCCGTGGTGTGGAATGACGACTCTTCCTCCACACTCACCATCTACAATGCCAACATTGACGACGCCGGCATCTACAAGTGCGTGGTCACTGGCGAGGATGGCAGCGAGTCAGAGGCCACGGTCAACGTGAAGATCTTCCGTAAGAGCCTCCTCTGTCCCCCTCCATATTCCCTGTGCTCTCCTTTGGCCAGAAGACACGTGAGCAGCAGGCAGAGTGGGATGGCAGTGAGGGCCGGCTGAGGGCTTCCTCCTTCCCACTCCCTAAGCCTTTTCTGAACTGAGCTAATAAGAGCTCCGATAAGTTCTTGAATGATCCTTGGCCAACTCAGAGCTCACAACCCTGGTTCATGCTGATCCCAGCTACCCCCCTCTGGCCTCCGTTCTCTAATTTCAAATTACACAGTTCCCAGAGAGCTGTTAAGCATTCCCCATCACTTCCGCAAGTGTTGATTGACTATTGTACAATTCAAGTTTTACCTCTTATTTCACTCTCCCTGCTGGTAATGGAGCCCAAAGGCTCGGTGGGGTACGGGGGATTATTATCTGAACACTCTGGGCCGCTCAGAGCAGGCGGTTCCCATTGTCATTGAAACCAAGTCTGGAGGTGGCATCTCGTTACCTTGTTATCATGCATCCGTCTCCTTGGCCAGTATAATGGTGGGTGACAGCTAATGGAAAGTACTGATTGCCATAGTATTTACTGCCATTAAGCCTATTTTTCTTCTGCTTGTCAAAATCCTTACTGCTCTAGGAAGGCTGAGTTTGGGGTGCCAGAGAGAATGGGAGACAGAGAAAGGACCAGTGATCAATCATTGCCGACTAGGTGTTCTACTGGTTCATTCCACCTGTGCTTTGTGTTTCATTGCCACCATCCCACATGGCGAGGGACACTTGGGATACTTCTACGCAAAGTATGATGAATTCAGCACTCAGTGGAGAGACATTGATTGCCAAATATTGATGCCATATTCCCCTGACTATACCATCTGCTTTGCCTGGCTCCTTGGTTACATATGGGGTGGGACCCTGTCTTATGCCACTGGGTATATGGATTGAGAACTGTCCATGACTCTAACCCAAGCAGTATGGCTCTAGCGTAAAGGGGTCTGCATGGGAGAACCAGCTGTTTCCCCTCACTCTTCTCTTGCTTATTTTCCAGAGAAGCTCATGTTCAAGAATGCACCAACCCCGCAGGAGTTCAGGGAGGGGGAAGATGCTGTGATCGTGTGTGATGTGGTCAGCTCCCTCCCCCCAACCATCATCTGGAAACACAAAGGCCGAGATGTCATCCTGAAAAAAGATGGTGAGGTCTAATTCCCTGGCAGCTGCCTTTCCCTCAAGCCACCCAAGTCCCCTAGGGCTTCTCCTCAGCCAGCCTCTGAGGCGTTCCAGCCCAGACTCAGGCGCCAGCATCCCTCCACCACACGCACTTTCCGGGCCCTGAATGGGTTTATGTTGGTAGCTTGTCTATTCAGGCACTTGACTTTCTCTCCAAAGAGAAAGACAAATTTCCAGTAGACTTTTGCTCTTGGCTCTGTGTCAGAGCCGGGAACATATTCCTTCATTTCAGCTTAAAGCCCCACCTGTAAGATTGCAGCTAGGAAAGAGGAAGTTACCAGAATTCTCTGACTGATCCTTGGATGAACCCGCCTCTTGTCTCTTCTAGTCCGATTCATAGTCCTGTCCAACAACTACCTGCAGATCCGGGGCATCAAGAAAACAGATGAGGGCACTTATCGCTGCGAGGGCAGGATCCTGGCACGGGGGGAGATCAACTTCAAGGACATTCAGGTCATTGTGAACGGTGAGGAGATCCATTCTTCCCGCTCTCTTCATTACTACAACCTGGTTTCCCCACACCATCCTCCGTAACTTCCTCTTCAGTCTATTAAATCAGTCCCGTCCTGACTCAAGCATCCATCTCAACTGAATCCCTCCTCTGGCTTGTTTTGTTTCTTCCTTAATACACTTGCCTTTTGGGTCTCCCTCAACTCAGAGGACTTCTGGTGCAACTCTTGAATGTCCTTCGTGGTCTTACGGACCTGGGAACTTTCCCATGCTTACCAATAAGTCCTCCTTCACCCTTCAGTGTCCTTGATGCTCCCATACTCATGAGGTTAGTCCTCTGGCTCAAAGTTCAAAGAAAATGTTATAATCAATTCAGTCCCCAGAATAGTCAGAATCATGGGTCATGGGCTTATTAATCTTAATTTGCAGTGTCAAATAAACACACCCGTGGAATCGATCTGACATTTGCAAGATGTTTACAGGAAATTATAATGTCAGTACTAAGAAAATAAGTAAATCGTGATTGAATTGTTTCGGCTGTTGATATATATTTTTTGCCAAATTCTCCCCCTCTCAGTCCTTTTGGTAGAAACAGTTTGTGCACAGGGTTGTTTATGACAATCCCAGAGAAATGTCACTCATTGGTGAGCTGATGCATTTTGAAATGGTATTAACCATTTAACTGCCAGGAACAGGCACTTCCAACTTGTTCCAGTATCGAGAGCCCCCTGTCAGGCATCAAGTTACACTTACCATGGTAGTTGTAAGTTTAATACGTATTGATTAAGAAACTATATAATGATAAATAGCTAGTATGAGTTGAATACTATTTTTTGGCCGAATGCTATTTTTAAATGAATAAAACATATGAATGTAGCTTCAACAGCTGTATTGTTGGAAAACAATATTATAATACATTGCTGCACATATAATGATATGGTATATTGTTGAAAAACACGGATGCGTATTCGTGGGTGACTTATGTATTCAGTTTGGAGTAATTATTTCATACACATGTGAGTTTAGATCCCTCACACTAGCCCTGCAGCTTCCCGAAACTCTTGACCTCCAGGCTGTGACCCTCCGACCTGAGGTCCCCTGGAAGTGCATCTTCTCCAGGCCACTGGGTTCCTCCAGGTTTTCACAACCACCCCTGACAGTTCTTCTTTCCTTCAGTGCCGCCCACCGTCCAGGCCAGGCAGAGCATAGTGAATGCCACCGCCAACCTCGGCCAGTCCGTCACCCTGGTGTGCGATGCTGAAGGCTTCCCAGAGCCCACCATGAGCTGGACAAAGTAAGAGACTGGCTCATGCCTTTTATCGTGGACTAGTGGAGAAGGCAAGACCACAGAGCCCGCTCCATGTTGGCATTTCAGTGGAATGGGTATGGGCTGCTTGGGAATGTCAACTCTGGTGTAGAATGGAGTCTCTTCTGCAAGCTTCTCTTGCGTTGTGCATCCGATCCCTTCATTTTCCGTTTGTGGGGCAGAACCAGAGGACATGGCCTTGGAGGCCCTCTTTGGAATGTTTGCAGGTGCAGCTTATAAGCCCTTGGACAGAGACAGGTTTGGGTGGAGGCATCTAAGGTCCATGTGGAAGAACAACTTGGCATATAGACCGATGTGAAGACCGAGTCTCTCCCACGGGCTCAGTCTGCATTTTATGGAAACTGATTAAAAATAAACATCTTACCCCTGTGGTCAGAATCATGGTACTTTGCATTTCTGCACCAATTAGGGACGGGGAACAGATAGAGAATGAGGAAGATGACAAATACGTCTTCAGCGATGACAGTTCTGAGCTGACCATCAGGAAGGTGGATAAGAACGACGAGGCTGAGTACGTGTGCATCGCCGAGAACAAGGCTGGAGAGCAGGATGCGTCCATCCACCTCAAAGTCTTTGGTAAGGACAGTGGGGGTCGAGATCATTGCTCTACCACACTCCCTCTTACCCTGCACACTCAATCCCCCAGGAAGGCCCTCTCTACTCTGCCTTGGAATCTGTTCCAAGTGCAACCACGTCTGCCAACTCCACCAGCTAAGCCTGAGTCTGTGCCGTCCGCCTCCTCCCCTGGTCAATGAGACAGCTGGTCTCCCACACCCCCACCGGTGCTCCCTTTCAGCCCCTCCTCACAGCAGCCAGAGTGACCTCAAGTGCCAACCCTTTGTTTAAAATGCTCCCATGAGGGCGCCTGGGTGGCTTAGTTGGTTAAGCGTCCAACTTTCGCTTAGGTCATGATCTCACAGTTCGTGGGTTCGAGCCCCGCGTCGGGCTCTGTGCTGACTGCCAGCTCAGAGCCTGGAGCCTATTTCAGAGTCTGTGTCTCCCTCTCTCTCTGACCCTCCCCTGCTCATGCTCTCTGTCTCTCTCCTAGAAATAAAATAAAAATATTTAAAAAAAAAAAATGCTCCCATGGCTTGCCATTGCAACCAGAATGAAATCCCGACTCCCTCCATGACCAAACTTGAGCTGGTCCCTGCCTTCCTGTCCAGCCCCATCTTTCCTGCCCTTTGCTCCTCCCTCTCCAACCCCTCAGGCCCTCTTTCTGCGGCTCGGACACATCTCATCTTAGGGACATCGCGCTCGATACTCCTTCTGCTTAGAGCATCCTTTCCTCAGATCTTCTCTGAGCCACCTTCTTCTCCTGCACCATTCAGATCTCAGCTGAGCCAACCTTCTCGGTGAATCCTTCCTGCCCTACCCTGGCTAACACGCCACTACCACCCCATCCACTGAGTGCATCCATTGATCTTACTCTACCTTCTTCACCACACTTATCAAACCCAAACTGGTCTCATTTACACCTTTCTTTGGGGTGTTGTCTTGTACCTCCACTAAGGGTGTAAACTCCGAGACGGTAGAGTGCCAGTCCCTCTTTCTCTCTCCTGCTTTGTCTCTGCCGCTTCAACCAGTGCCGGGCTCGTGAAGGCCTTTGGTAAATACCAGTGACCAACAGGCTGACTGCCTGCATCTCCTTGTCTCTCCCTGGCCTGTGTGAAATGGTGCCGTCAAAGGCATGAGAATCTCCTCTACATCTCTACTCTCTCCACCTTCATAAACTCAGTGAACTTCCATTCACTTAGAGCTGAAATGCATTTGGACCTGACCTTGGAAAAAGCATTCGTGGCAGAGAAATGCTTAGCCCAGTGGCTGTCAGCGCTTCTCTGCCCATGTTTTTGGTCCACTGTAGATGGCACTGCTACGTGCCAGAGGGCTAGCTGCGGCTCATGCGGCTCCCAGGTCACTGCAGCATGCGCCTGGCAGGCCGGCTGGGACCCCTTTGTGCAGCCTGCTCGAGAGAGCTGATCTTTGTTTGTAAACAAAGAGCTTTGAAAGATCAAGTGCAGTCAGACCTGCTAATCACAGATGAATCCTGCCAATCCATTGATGACAGTTGGGTTTAGAAATAGGTGATCAGTTTGGTTCACATCAACTGGATATACTGGAGAGTGCAAGCTAAGAATGGGCTTGGGAAATATTCTTGACGGTTCTTTTTTTTTTTTTTTTTTTTTCCCTAATTCTCTTCCCCAGCTATTCTGATCTCCTCAAGTCTTTCCATGTTATAAAGACAGGCGCATTTGTTAATGTATTCTTTCATTTAACAAATATTTATCGTGCGTCAGTGCTGCTGGAGAGAGGGGCAGCAGAAACAAGCATGATGTCTCCCTGAGAGGCACAGGAGGGAGATGAACACATAAGCACATAAACTATAATAGATAGTGTCAGCCAACAACAGTTGAATGTCTGCCATAGGCCCAGCCATTGCCAAGGTTATGAGGATGAATGACATGCTCTCTCTCTGTCTTTATCAATGGGCTCACGGACTCACGGTGATGACCAGCGCTGACATTTTTAATGACGGTCCATCGTAATGGTGACGTGCATGGTGTTTCATTGGAAAAGATCCGTGGCGCTGCAGGACAGAAGTTAGGGAGGTCTTCACAAATGGTGTGCTGCTTCACAGGCAGGGGCGTCCAAAGTGGAAAAGGGGGGACCTCAGGCCACACACACACAGGCACAGAGGCAGGAAGGACTCGTGTTATGTTGAATGTGAGCTCCTTGTAGACGGGAACTGAGAATCCCCAGCTGGCAGGACAGTGCGTGGCAGATCAGAGGTGTCAGGATTTGCATAAATGAAGGAAGAGCAGTTTATGTGAACGAAGCACAATGTATATGGCGGGGGGGTGGGGGTGGGGAGGGGAGTCCAGGAACGTGTAACCATCACTTGTCTTGGGAAGTTCTTAGATATTGGCCCCACAGGGTTGTAATAACACCCACCACGATGCAAGTGCTTGTCATGTGTCAAGCAGTATGTGAACTGACTCTTACTCCTCAGGACAACCCTGTGAGGTAGATCTAATTATTGTCCTTGTTTTACAAATGAGGAAACTGAGCACAAAGAATCAAGTGACCTACCCAAGGAGCCAGCATTCAAACCCAGGCAGTTGGCTCTTAGGTCCTTTCCCTGACAGTGGGAAGTACTACTCTATGAAACTCAACTTAACACATAACTGTCTCTGAATTGCAGATGCAGTGAGCAGGCCTGCTGAAGTTAGTGTGTACCCTGCCTTTCCCACCACGGGCAACACGGTTTCTCTGTAGAAGTGCGCCCACTTCTTACTTGGCTGGTCAGGAGCAGAGCTTGGCTTCCCTTCCAGGCCTCTCTGCTGCTGGTGGCTGCCCCGGGAAGGAGGTATGGGTAGTGAGTCAGGAGCCTCGTGGGGCCAATGTAGAGTAAAGAGCTGGAGGTCTGGGGAAGGAGGTAACGAGGCGGGGAATGTAGGATGCAAGAACTGAGGCAAGGCACGATTTGTCTTTCCCCCCACCTCTCACACCACACATGTCGTCCTGTGCCCGCCCCCCGAATCACATATATACACACATACTTACATACACATATACGTACACACGCACAATTTCTTCCCCAAGATCGCACTGGGAGACTATATGTTAGTCTAGATGAGCAAACAGAGGAGAAGTGGCCAGAGCCCTGCAGAGACAGGTAGGTAAATCACCAACTCCTAGGGGCCGTGTCTCACCCAGCCCCCATCTGGAATGGGAGTCCTCCTCTGTGATACCCGGGGGAGGGCTGGCATAGCCTCTTTGGAGTAACCTGGTACCTTATGCACACACTCCTTTCCCTTTCCATTTCACGTTCCTAACCTCTTCTCCCTCCCCCTATGGCCTCCCTTGGATTAGGGGTTTGGTAGTAAGGCCAAGGTGGGGGTGGCTAGTTAGGGCCCCATCCTTCTTTCATTTTGTCCCCACCTCTCCCCCTTGGCTTGCCACGGGACCAGCCACGAGGGGAAAAATGACAGAGCAGGCTCCTCAGTGGTAGCAGAGTCAGCAGCAGGGGCCAGAAGAGCAAAGAAACCGGCAGCTTAAGACAGTAGAGAAGCGTGCAGAACTCCCCTGATTCAAGAAGGGAAGGCAATTAGTATGTACGGGGCATATCTAAATTAGACACTGCCATAATTGTACCTTACTGACATCATTTTTTCCTAAGAAGAGGGCACATTCTAGCATGCATTGCCCTAGTTATCAGCCAGAAGCTCTTTTTACTAAGTAGTTACATCCTACCTTTCTTTAAATTTGGCAGTGAATTTCCATTGCCTTTTCTTCCCGTGGGCCCTTCTAAAAGAGTATTTTTGTCTCCTCACACTCCTATTATGCTCGTACAAGTGCTCTCGAGGCTTCATGCTGCCGTGGGCTGAGGCGAGTCCACCAGTGGGCTTGCTTTGCTGACCCCTTAGGACCACAGCAGCCCTTGTGAGTTACCGCACAGCTTAAAGCCTGAAGGGGGGCGCCTGGGTGGCTTAGTCATTTAAGCGTCCGACTTTTGCTCAGGTCATGATCTTGCGGTTCGTGGGTTCGAGCCCCGCGTCGGGCTCTGTGCTGACTGCCAGCTCAGAGCCTGGAGCCTGTTTCAGAGTCTGTGTCTCCCTCTCTCTCTGACCCTCCCCTGCTCACGCTGTCTCTCTCTCCTAGAAATAAATAAAAATATTAAAAAAAAAAAAAAAAAAGCCTGAAGGAGGGTGCTCCTGGTCATGTCCAGCCTCTCCGTTCAGAGATTCAGGGCCCCAGAGCCCTCCTTGGGCTGGGGATACAGGAGCCTGGACTGGAGTGGGAATAAACAAGACCTATCCTTAGCAGCAGGGCACAGAGCCATGCGAATGATGGAAGAGGAGAGCCAGTGTGCTTGGAAAACTCCCAGGGGCAGCTGTTCTCACAGGAAGGTCCATAGGGAGATGTGCCGTGGAAAGATCTGAGATATTAAGTCCCATAGCAGCAGGTGGAATATAGAGCAGGGATCCAAAGTCAACGGCCTACAACAGACATTAATTAAGATGGTACAAGTACCATCTGAAGGTAAAACCTGGAGATCTTCCTCTGGATCCTGGGGTGCAGAGGGAAATGACCCTGTCTGTATCCATCCCTCTTAGCCCGATAATGCCCATTGTCCAAGGTGATTATGTAAAGCATCCCTTTCCACCCTCAAGGGTGTCTTGATTTGGACAATAAATTATATTGGTATCCTGTCTCCAAGGCAATATCCTAAGCTTTCAATTACTTCTCACAAGAGTCTTGCTTCTGTAGCGCAAAGAGGTTAAGTCATCAGTGAAAACCTTGTCTTCCTTCCCAGCAGCCCTCTGTAGACCATCCAAAATTAGCTATTGTTAATAATGTTTTTAGTAATAATACACCTTCCTTTTTTCTAAAGATTTGTACAGCGTACCCTTTGTAACCCTCTGGGAAATGGAGCCACCAAACCAAACTTTAATAGATGTTAACTATCCCTTGTCTGTCTTCTATTAACCTTTTCCTGCCAGGACAAAGTTCTGGGGGTCAGGAGAAGGTCAGCGCACACAGTCTAGGTCACGACATCCATCCAGATTTCTTTTTTTTTTTTAATGTTTTATTTATTTCTAGGAGAGAGAGAGAGAGACAGCGTGAGCAGAGGAGGGTCAGAGAGAGAGGGAGACACAGACTGAAACAGGCTCCAGGCTCTGAGCCGGCAGTCAGCACAGAGCCCAACGCGGGGCTCGAACCCACGAACTGCGAGATCATGACCCGAGCGAAAGTCAGATGCTTAACCGACTAAGCCACCCAGGTGCCCCCATCCATCCAGATTTCAAGAGGCCAAAGATTCAGCCTTCCTGTGACTGCCCCCAGACCTCAAAACAACTGTCCCATTCAGTGAATTCAGTTGTTTGCCCGACTGTTATTTATTTATCTTTTTTTTTTTTAACACTTTTCAGTCTGTGCTTTTAACAGGGCAGAAATTCAGCTTTTATCTTTCTAAAACCTCCTGTCCAGCCACACTTAACACTTAGTCCATTCAATAGGAGTTGTGACCACCTCGAAAATCCTATGTATCAAGATAGAGACAAAACCTTCCTAGGGGAAAACCACGCTCAACTGGACCCCATCAATTCTAATTTGCGATCATTTGACCACATTGGATTGAGATGTGCTTATGTGCTTGCCATCAAAAAAGGATTTGCTAAGCAGACTGTTTAGTACAGATTAACTGTAGTGGAATATTTGATCTAGATGGGTAATTTTATACAGAAGCAGATATTTGCTACAGAAAATGCACAGCCTTGCCATTGCTTTCTCTTTCGTAAAGCAAAATCAAGGGCCTCCACTTGTAGGATGCATATAGGCAGTAGTTCATTAACCTACTTGGGGTGCTGTACAAATTTGAATGTAAAGGAAATGCAGTTCTTTCCAAAATTATCTGTAAATTTGATTTATTTCTTTTTTGTTTGTGTATCTAGCCTGGTCTTTCTCCTCCATTAGTGAAATAAGTTACATTTGTGCAGTGTTATCTTTTCTCTTCCATGGAAGGTTTAGCAATTTCAGAGTATAATTGTTTTAAATCAGGAAAAGTCAATTTTCTCTAATGTTTTAACGTTTAACTCAGCTTTCAAATGCTTGTGTTTTCTTGCATTACCCAAAACATTTGGAAAATGAACCCATCTCCTCTCCTCCCCGCCCCAGCCCATCTCACAGCCCCCAACCCATCACTCGCCATGTTTCCTTCCTGGAGTCAGTGCTAACCCAGCTCTCTCCACCAGCAGGAAGCTCGGAGTCACGTGATCTCCTTCGCAACCTTTCTTTTGTGTCTTGCCTTGCCCCCTTTGCCCTCTGTTCACTTGGCACTTCCTGCAAAGCCTGCCATAAGTGCCTCTCTCAAAGCTGCCCTTCCTTCCACATCGGCCCCTCACCCCAGGCCACCTGGTTCGGGGCTGTATGAAGCCACATCCGGGGCATGGCCAGAGCTTCCAAATTGGTTTTCCCACCTCAAGGTTTCCTCCATTCTAAATCATCTTGAGTCTTTCTTAGATTAACCTTCATGAAGTACAAATGGCCATTTCATTCTTCGGATCAAATACCGCCAGTGGGCCTCCATCAGCCCCACCGAGATCATTCAAAGCAAGCACCTTAGCCAGCCTGTCACGATCTCTGTGCCGGGCCCAGCATCGCCTCCCCCTGCCATGAGGAGCAAACGCCGGCTCCTGCCACACTGCCCTCTTCCCATGTTCTTGCTTCTTTGCTTTCAGCCAAGCAGGTTTCTACACTTGGAAATTCTTACTTGGAATGACTGCCTCTGTCCCAGAGTTCCACGTGCTGAAAGTCTCATGGCCCAGCCCAAACGCTTTCCCTTCCTGAAGGTTCCAGCCAGAGGAGCAATCTCCCTCTGCTCTGTGCCTTCTCTACCCACTGCCCTTAGCATTCTTACCCTAAGGGATCTTGTTGCTTTGGCCATCACTTCAATGTTATCATATGCCTAATTGCACGCCCCTTGAGGACTCTTTTCTTTATCTCCTACAACACCTAGAATAGGACCTTAAACTTAGTAAGTACGTAACCTTTGTTGAATGGGTGCATATTATAACTTAAACCAGAAAGATGAAAGATCAGACAGACTCATAAACATATCTTGTCTTCTCAGCAAAACCCAAAATCACTTATGTAGAGAACCAGACGGCCATGGAACTGGAGGAACAAGTCACCCTTACCTGTGAGGCCTCAGGAGACCCCATTCCCTCTATCACCTGGAGGACTTCTACCCGAAACATCAGCAGCGAAGAAAAGGTATGATGTTCCCAGAGAGTTTCAGGGCCATGGGACGCAGGCTCCAAGCAGATTGTGTCTGGCCATACCCCGTTGTCTCCGGTGAGTCCAAAGCTGGAATGCGGGCACCAGAGACTGTGCCAGATCCCATGGCCTCCATCCTCCAGCCTGCCTGGCTGTGGCCTCATCAGTGTCCCCTTACAGTGGAAGAACCACAGTTTCTTGCAAAGACTTGCAAGGGTGTGATAATAGCAGGCATGGTCAAGTTAGACGTTCGGAGGAAGAAGAGGGTAGTGACTTTGGATTATGGAGCTATGAGGAGTAAGGAGAAGCCAAGATCCTGAGGCCCCAGCTGATACTACCATCATGTCAAGGGGCACCCAAGGAAGCGTTGCCCAGAAATAGCAGGGATCAGAATGAGCCCTGTTAATTCCTTTCCTTGTGTTTTGTAGACTCATGCCGTACATGCACTCTACGCACAAAAGCTTGGTTGCCTTTGTGTCTGCCTGTATTTTCAGTCACATTTGGATATCATTTTGTTCTGTTGGCAAAAATAATTAGCAGTTTCTACGTGATGATGGTTCCAGTGGGTTCTGCAGTACATTCGCAGAGAGCTTAAGCACATGGCAGCGACCTTCCTGCTAAATTAAAACGACTGGGAAGATTTAGCTTTGAAGCGTGTAGATTTATAGTCCCCTGGAAAGCTATCTTTATTATTGACAATATATAAAAATTTAGATAATCTTACATCATTGCAGCCCTTTGCTGCTGAGTTGGCAAAAGCAGGAGGAGGAAGAAGCTTGATGTCAAAGCAACTTAAACCCACTTATGGCACCTCTCCAATCTCCTCTCATATACCCTCTAGCAATGGGCTTCACGTTAGTTGGCCAAAACTTTGTCAGCTATTCAGGACTAATGGCCTTAGCCTTAAAGAACATTTATCATGGATTGCTTATTGACCCAAATGTCAAAAATGATAGATTTTCACTCTTCTGCCTGCCTAAAGGGAATCCCTAGAGAGGACAAACTCAAATAAAGTCAAAAAGAGATAGTGTGAAATGCCAGAGCTGTTCTTGGGATTTGCATTTGAGGGTCTGACTTCCGCCCTGCTAATAGAAAATGAAAAGGAGTAGAAATTGCTGTTCCAAAAAGCCCATTATTACTTTGCAAGGTTTACCTCCACAGTTGAATTCCACTTAACAAAAACTCAAGGAACTGCTAAGTATTTTTGAAACTCACATATGCTGTTCGATATTGTGAAAACCAACTGGACTAGGAAATGTGGTGTTTACTCGGATACTTTCTTTATCGGCATTGGAATTATACCCTGAGCTCAGATTTCAGCTCCCATTGTGTGTGTTACATGGATTGAATGTGCATTTCAGGGCTTCAACCACAGGGCTGCTGCCCGCCAGATTTTTCTACATCAGGCTTGTGAGTAGACTTGTCCAGAATGAACCAGTGTGTATCGTTGACCTACAGTAAAGGACAGAAATAATATCTATCCCAGATGAATGATGCTTTTCAATCCGATGTCTTTTCTGGGAATAGCTCAACAGCTAAGCTAGACCAGAAGGGCCATTAAGATTTGTGCCTACCCTAAGTTCTATAGGTGGGCACTTCTGGCTTATACCTGAGAACTCACTTTTACAGAATGAGAACAAATAACCAGGCACTAATACACACTCGTACTTACTAAGTAGTGAGACCAAAGGTATCCAAAAGAGACCATCTCAGGCCAAGTAGGTACTGTATAATTCAGTCATCAGTGTAGCTCATTGGTCTCAATCTGAGATACTATGGAAACCCAGCCACATAGATTACATTGTGGTTCTTTCTGCTACAGACTGCCTTCAGGCTTACTTGACATTACTAGAGCATGAGTGAACCAATATTAGGGCAAGTCCTCCAGACCAGCCAGTGATGTGACACCAGCTTAACTTACTTGTGTAAATGAACCCCTGCACATGAACCTTGCCATTTCTATCAGTTATATATTGACATCAAAGAGGGAGACTTGCTGCCCATCCCACACCGAGATAGCTGGTAATTAAGAAAACCAAGATGGCCGGTTGGACTCCAGGTGATAAATCTCACTTCTACCTGGCAGTGGTCCATCATATTCTCCTCCACCTGAAGGTGCATCGTATATAACCAGGGACCGAGATGACTAGAGTCACTGCAGCGTAGGAGTGAAAGAAAACAATTGGCTTTGTAAACCCAGGCTGATACGCTAAGCAGATAACAATAGCCGCTTGTGTCTAACCGCAGAGGTCAGGAAGTCTCCTGAGAATTAGACCACACAAAATGCTGGAATCCTGGAAGGCGGGAAGGGAGGCCCTATTCCAGGTTGTCTAGTCTCACCTGGCACTCACTTGCCAGCATATCTGCCAGAAAGCCTCGTGGCCATTCCCTGAAGGGTGGTGGCGACCGTACTCTGCAAGACAGCCGGCCAGCGCTGGTGATCGGGAAGGTCTGCTCCCTTGTCCTGTCCGCTCCGCCTGCTGTGCCGCTCAGTCCCCTGTGCGAGGGCTCTTGGATTTTCCCTTCGTTCCCACTCTTCTTCTCTTATGAACAGTCAGTGGCCTTCCTGTCTCTGAGGTCGTGTGTTCCCCGCCTTGTGCTTTCTGGTGGTGCCGGCGGTCCCAGTGCGCTGACGCTCCCCTGAAGTTTTGTGGTGCCCAGTGTAACTACGGCAGTGTTCCGTGCAGCTCTGACCCCCTCGATCCCGACGCCAGCATGCGGTTAAAGTCGCATTAGCCCCTGCAGCAGTTTCCTCATTGTGTTGCCTCACATGGAGCTTGTAGTCAACTAAAATGCTCGGCTCTTTTTTATCTGAACTGCCTTGAAGCCACATCGCCCCTATCCTGCTCTTATGCAATTGACTGTTTTGCCCAAAATGCAGAATTTTATATTTATTTCTGCTAAAAGTCGTGTTTTGTTTGTTGCAACCTGACGTTTCTCAGTGGGGTCACTGGCAGTTTGGGAAGGCAGTTCCTTCACTGGGACGGTCCTGTCCATGGCCAGAAACTCAGCACCACCAGCTCCCTTCCTTCCAGATGCCAGTAGCCACCTCTAACCACCTCAATTACCAAAAATGCCACCTACACAAACTCTTTCTGAGAGTTGAGAACCATTTCAGTCCATCCTTGTAACCAGGAAAGTCTGGCTTTTATTAGAACTGTCCTTAGAGGTCTGTACGTCTAGGGCATTTCAAGCCATGTGGGCCCCCCCCACCCCCGATCTTGTTTACGTATTTTTAAAGTAATGAGATCTAATGATGGTGACCCCACATCGCAAGGCCCAAAGGCAGGCAGTTCAGCAGCCATCCCCAGGCAGCTGTCATCCGGCATCTGGATCAGCGGTTGCCTCCAACCTCGTGTGAACACTTCCTTGAAATATCTTGGTCCAGGTCTCTGATAAAAATGTTGACTGGGACAAGGTCAAGTACAAAGTCCTTAGAATGCTACCAGGGCCTTCCTCTGGGTCACTGGCTTAGAAGGCAGAGCACCCAATGTCATGGTGCTCTTCATGATTTTGAGGACTTTCGTGGAAGGTTCAATAATTTATTTAATAAAGTTGGTTACAATGTAAGCTAAATAAAGCAGCTTGGTCTTTCACTTCATTGCTTAGTTAAGTCTAGTGTTTGTCTAGTATTACCCTTCTTAAGAGGAGAGGAGAGAAAAGGCTTTCAACCATAGGCACAGGGTTAGTAACTTTCTAACGGAATACTCATGTTCGTCTTCATTGGGGAAAAGGAAAAAAAAAAACAACAACAAAAGCAAAATCCAGTAAACTGAGCCCGATTGTCACAACCTATCTGATCGCGTCTCTGGGTTCTGTCCAATCACTCCTTCGAGACTGATTACTATCAGTCTGCTGAGCTTCAGCTAGTTGAGTTGGTTTTGCTCAACAACTGATAACAGGTAGACTACATTTGGGTCATTAAGACCATTAGGGTAGATGCTCTGTCTGAAAGTTAATCCATTTCTTAGTATCCATTCTGTTGGCCAAAAACAAACAAACAAAAAGAAGACTTTGAAACAAACCATATTTGAACATCATAATGAGACAGTTTGATCTGTGTGGCTGGAGGACATTGTGATAATGCAGGTACACATCCACCTCATTTCATTGTTCATCCTACCGAGATTCATTGTAAATATTGCCAGGTACGTGAGTGAGGGGGCTAACTTCCAGGTACCATTTACATACTGAGAGAGACCTCTGGGTGCTGATTTGCACAATCAGTCACTAGCAAAACACGTTCTCTGTGTGCGTATTTGAGCCTCTTGTTTGAACATGCCTTTGAAATGACTGGTAAAGGAATGCATACGAAGCCTTAATATTTAAGGAAAAGAAGAGGGGCAAAGAGTGGAGCTCAGTAGAGGTAGAAAAAATGGAATTTCGTGAACCTTAAGTCTTTGGCTGACAGAGTATCCCACAAATCCCCACAAGTAAGAGAGACCTTTGAAATTCTGGATTCCCTGGAAACTGGATCTTTCTGTCACTGGGAAGAATTCCTCATTAATGCAAACCAGGTGCCCACATATAAACACTGGAAAGGGTGTCTGCGATGAGCATTTAGAGTCTGGCGTATTTGGGATATGGGCAGAGGGATAGCAGGGTCTACTTTAGGATAAGTATAGGGATGCTTCATTTTAGTGTGTGTACATATTCCTCCAGACTCGTATGTGAGGTAGTAAAACGTGAATATTAAAAGAATCTGGAAATTAAAATTTCTAGAGCATGGCTAATCATATCCTAATTTGTTTTATGTGTGTATATTTGCACATCAGATTGTCTTAAAGTGAGATGCACACCATCACCAAACTATCAGGGCCAAGGCATAGCCTACCATTCTATCAGACACACAGGCAGGAGGTCAGGCTACTGGAAGCATTGTCTTACTAACACCTACCTCTCCTCAGTGACACAAAACCGTAGTGCTTTGGGAGAGGCATAAGAAGGATCAGATCTGAAAAACAAAGAACTCCCTATGAGATAGCCCTTAAAAAAAAAATGTCTTAATTCATGCAGCCCTGGCATGTGACAGACAAGCTTCTCATTGGCGGCCACATGTGACATTTTGGCACCCCGACACTTTGGTCTCTGCATGGTCCTCTGTCCTCACTTTTCTCTTCATTCCAACATGACGTGACATAACCCAGCCTCTCCATCTTCATGTCTCACCAAAGCTCTTTGCATTTAGTGGACTCTTACTAAATGTTTGCTAACCCATGTGCACTACCTGGATTGCATTGCTCTGTCTCTGGTCTCTGTTCTCTCCTTTTTCCATCTGAGCATCAGGGACAAGCGGGCAGTCATGCCATTTAATAAAAACAGCAACTGCAGGTAGGATGTTTTGGAGTCTCGCTATGCAAACAGAAAACCTATAAGCGTAGGAGATACCCAAGTGCCAGATAAGTAGAATATGCAGCTGTGGGTAGGACAATACCCACACCTCTGTGCTTCTGAGTTGACTCCCTCCTTTGTGAATGCCATGTTTGAGGCTGACGGTGCACGCTTGAGCCTGCATGCCATCTGGGCATTCCTCTCCCTTTGAGAACTGACTGGAGCCTGCCGCGATGCTCAGAGTTTGCTGTCCTGGAAGTTTTCTGACCACCAACTTTAAGGACTTTGTACTTAGCCATTCCTAATGTCTCTCTCTGCTCCTTTGTTAGTTCCTTTTTTAAAAAAATAAAAACGTGATTTTTAATAGGATGCATGCGATGAATTATAAAATGCATGAGCACAAAATGGCATTCGTATTTTTGCAATAAGCTGTCTGATAGAATCCAAAGGAGGAAACCTACACTAAAAGTATCTCTAGATTTTATGGTTAGAACTAGTAGTGTCATGAAATAACTACGAGAAATACTCAAGATGTTCTGGAACAAGTGCAGTCTACTGTGTCTGCTGGTACCCTTGTGTATGTCGACCAAAGATTAGGAAAGCCTTCTCCTTTGAATTATACATCTTAATGCGCGGAAGGGGGTGGGGAAAGCTTAACATAAGCTAAACCCTAAATTCAACTGGGTCATAAACACACCGTTGAAAGTGAGCCTTGGAAAAAGTTCTAAGTTGAAAAGAAGCTGCATGTGCACGAAATGCAGTGTGATACAGCAATTCTCTGAAGCAACATGTTGTAAAATTTTACTGCTTTCTTGTTGTGTTTTATATCTTGTTCTCTCCAGGCTTCGTGGACTCGACCGGAGAAGCAGGAGGTATAGCTTACCTGACCACTAGCCAGTCTTTAGTTTTGAAAGCATCGCAGTTTAACTCGCCATTACAGTTTAATAACCAGACATGCTAAACTAATTAGTCATCTAGTTAGATTAAAGAATAGGTCAATAGTGGTAGACGTTACTTAGCAATAGCGTGTTAGAATGAGCAAGCAAGCTGTGTTGGGAGTGGATGAACAAATCCTTATTACTTCTTAAAATTGGATCTTATTCTCTTGCTGGTGCTGGTAAAATCACCTCCAGGTAATTATACTTACAGAAATAAATCGCTCCAATTCCCAGGCCAGGCGTTTTGAAATGAGATTTTTTATTTTATTTTATTATTATTATTTTTTTTTTATCTCTCACCTGGTTGATGTGGCTTTGGGTCATAAAGTCACAAAGTTAGTGGTCTGACAACCCACTCAGCCCTTTCCAGCTCAACTCATCTTGTTGCTCGCTTTATTTTAGAATGGTCAGTCCTAGTGAACGATCACAACCCATTTCATGTCAAAGCAATGCAGGTGACATCTCTCTTTGGTTTCCCCAAATTGCCGGGCACACCTATGTTACTTTTATAGATCATTGAATTTATGAGATTCGCATGATTTGGCACAAATGGTTTTAGAAGTCAGTAGCATTTAGCCTTTGAGATTTCTCTGGCTGCTTCCTTCCATTTGGGTAATGTGGGACCTCGTTTGAAAACTGAAGCTAAGTATTGATCTTTAGATTTTCATGTCACACACTCGTGACCCTAGCTACAATCATGCCTGTCATTTTTTCACTGATTTATATAACTGAAAGATAGCGAAATAAAAACTAGTATACTTTAGACGAGGTTCAAGGATCGAATCCATAAATATTTTTTTTAAATAGCTTTTGCCTCTTCTCCAGGGGAAACTTTGATATTTTAATACTACAAATGTGGAATATGGCAATCCTACACACTGTGTTTTAATTAGGTAACTCTTTCCTCTTAGTCTTCCAGAAATGATAATTATTTGGAACACATAACTCATGTGTTCAGGTCATGGCTATAAATATTTAATGCTGTTTAATATTGAAGAGCTGACTGCCATATCCCCGAGCACTGATCTTAGTGTCTACACGTGAACATACTGCCGTGATCAAATCCAGTGTACGATAAACTGTCTTTGTTTCCTACCATCTTCCACGTCATGGGGGACCATAGTCAGGTGTTCATCTCACTGAAATGCCTCCCTCCTGTGGCAAAGAGATTGCTTAGTGCCATCCCAGCCTGGCTGTTTTATTGTCCCAAAGTCACAGACCCATTGGGATTGGGGAAAGGAGAGAAGAGAGGTTAATTAGCAGCCACCCCTCAGTAACTCCACATCTCATTCTATTTGGCCTTCTACATCTTCCCCTGTCATTCTGATTTAGACCTGGCTAGAGGGGAATGTGAGATTTATCAGGGAGCATTAAGGGAGGTTAAGTGAATTATTATTATAAGTGGAAGTCATAGGTTTACTCCCAGGAAATCAGACAACTCACTTCTGTTTACCAGAAGTATCCTTATCTTGAGTATCTCACTTTGGACATAATTGACTTTCAAGCGAGTGGCACCCCTGGGGCTCAGAATTTCCTCCTGTTTTTCTCATTCAGAGATGAAGACCCTAAGTCCAGATGAGCCCCAAAGAAGGCTATTGGATTATGGCCACTTTCCTTATATAAGCTCTGAGAATTAGCACTTTTACCTGGAAGGAGGGGCACACAAATGTTGTGATGAGAAGGATAGCATGATTGCCCTTCATGCTATTTTTGCAAAACAAGGTGTTCTTGTCACAGCTGTCTTTCCATTCTTGCCCAGAGATCATCTGCTTCCTCTGCAAGCCTGGACTTTATCAGCATGACTCCTGGTCTGGATGGCTTGTGGGTGGCAGACCCTGACTTTGTCCAAGCGCCAGGGTCAAACTTTTTGGAGGGAAACAGTCTAATTGCACTAGAGTCTATCTGCTTCCCCTTGGACGGAGAACTTGGCATCTGGCAGATTCCCATCCTAAATCCCGTCGTGAGCCAATCCTGTCGTGAGCCACTGCAAAATAAGAAGTCTCTGTAGAGGGCTGTCTACTGGTCTGTTGAGACCATCAAATGAGAAAATTTTCCACATAGAGAAATTTAGAACACACAGAAGGGGAGAAGGGCATAGCTGTCAATGAAACCATTTCCCAAGCTTCTCTTCAACCTTTTTCTAGAATATTCTGAGAAAAGACTGCTCATGCCCTGTTTTGCTCTGATTTGTTTCTGTCCTACTCTTACCTCCGTGACTCTCTTTGCATCTTTTGCTGCAATACTGCTTCCGTTGTGGAAATGGTCTCTTGACTTCCCAAAGATCTGGTCAGTTTTCCGTGTTTGTGGGTGCCGGGCCCAGGACAAGCCGCGTGTGGGTGACAAGCAATTGTCGCTCAGCCGCTGGCTGGTGTCACTTGCAGCTGAACCTGTGCTCTTACTGAGATAATCAGAAGGGTGGGCGGGGGGGGAACCTCGAACCCTTTCTGTCCTTGTCCTGGCTGTGCTGGGGACAGACAGAAGTGACAAGCAGATCAGGTCAGCCCTTTAAAGATCCTTGTTGGTGTGGCTTTGTGCTTTCAATGCCACTAGATCTGATGGGTTGCAATTTGTTTGGCTCATGGAAGTCACTACTGGGGTGTATTGGGACAACTCCATCAGCCCACGAGAAGCAGGGGGACCTAGGACCCAGGATCTTCAGCAAGCCGCTGTCTTGAGGCTTCCTGGCCTGGTTCTCCATACTTGTCTGCTGTCCTGACTCACTAATGTGTGTGTGGCATCTCCTCAACCAGTCAGGCTGGCAGACTTACAGTTCAGGTGGAGCTGAGAGCCATGAATGTGTGGGCACTCCTCTGACAGTGGGGGTGGCCCTCGCAGAGGTAGGCAGTGATGATTTTGCTCGGTGTTCTGCCTCCTTGCCGGCAGCGGTGTTCCAGCTTCCAGAAGGAACCTCAATGGGGCTTACATGCCTGAGATGGATTAGGTCTGTTAGTGATGGACAGATATGCAGAGACTGCCCCACAAAGCCAATGGGACCTTGCTTTTGAGCTGCCTAAACTGGCTGCTGTATGACATTGCAGTCCTGGGTCTCAGGCTTCCAAACCAGCATGGCAGAAGAATATGAAGCAGGTGTTCTCTCATTCCCTAAAGGCTCAGCCCCGTGGGACGACAGATGCCCGATGCAGAACACTCACCTGTCCATCCCCACAGAATATCATATGCTGGAGATAAGAGTGTGGCCCAGCCTGTGAGGAGCCAGACTCCTTCTTCAGATTACCAACTTTCTTGAGGATGTGAACTTGGGCAACATGCCCAGACTTTTCCTAGGCCAGCAACCATGTTAGAATGTCAAGACAAGAGCCTCTTGGAAATATTCCAGTACCCATTGCCTAGGGATCATATGCTTATTCACTTTTTGACCAATCCCTGTAATTCCAGAGACTCGGGAAGCCAAGTATGGTCTCAGGGGCTAGAAAATGGTGGTGGCTGTGGTGTCAAGGATCCCAGATCTGCCTGGGACTCTGTGTCACTAACCCTGGAGAGAAGAGCCAGCTACCCTCCCTTCCTCTCACCAGCTCATGATCATTGAGTTGTTGGACTTTCTCTTGAATGAAATTAGTTTCCTTTTAAGCATTCAGGAAAGCGAGGCATCTGCAGGAATATAGGCTTCTTGCATAATTTCTTGCAGTTGGCACATTGGGCTTTCCCATTATGCATGCATGCACCATGGAACTGGCAGATGGGCTCACTCCCGGAACGAAGGCGTAGAGGTGCAGGTTTCCCAGAATCTCACGGGGCAAGGCTGCGGCTCCTGGAACGACTGCCAGCAGGGCTTTTGCTTCCAGTTTAGACGTGCCACACAAAGGTGTCTGGGGGCGGGGGGGCGGGGGGACCTTGGTTGTCCTTGCCCCAACCCAACCTGGCACAGAGTCTAGGCCGCTTGACACAAACTCAAGTCCCGTTTTCTATTTTGGATCCACGCACGTTCCTGTGGTGCTCTCCAGAGCCTCCCACACTACCCAGGACCTAAGGTGAGAGTCAGGCATTGGCACAGCTCGGGGAGAGGATGTGAGACTGGTCCCAGATGAGGGGTGGCCCGGTCTCCTGCCCCCCACCCCCACCCCGTGCCCCGCCTCGGGCTCTGACGCGCTCCCCTCCTTCCTGGCAGACTCTGGATGGGCACATGGTGGTGCGCAGCCATGCGCGCGTGTCGTCCCTGACCCTGAAGAGCGTCCAGTACACAGACGCCGGAGAATACGTCTGCACTGCCAGCAACACCATCGGCCAGGACTCCCAGTCCATGTACCTCGAAGTGCAATGTGAGCACCGACTGGAAAAACGATGGGCGGGGGGAGGAGGGGGCGTGCAGGGTCAGGATGAAAGGGGAGGGTAGCAGCCTGGACCTTCCTGAGCTCTGTCCCCAAGTCGTCCCTCCCACCGCCCCAGGCTTCTTACAAGCCTACAGGCACTTCCGTCTCCCCCTGCCACTCCCAGCAGTGCTGCAGGGCCTGGGCTTTACCAAATCCGGCACTGGGGCTGCTTCAGGGCCCGCACGCCCTGCCAGGGCCAGCAGACAGGGTGCTCGGGGCGCCTGGGTCGTGGTGGTCTCCCTGATGGCCGCTGCCGTTCCTTGCAGACGCCCCCAAGCTGCAGGGCCCTGTGGCTGTCTACACGTGGGAGGGGAACCAAGTGAACATTACGTGCGAGGTGTTTGCCTACCCCAGCGCCACGATCTCGTGGTTCCGAGACGGTCAGCTGCTGCCAAGCTCCAATTACAGTAATATCAAGATCTACAACACCCCCTCCGCCAGCTACCTGGAGGTGAGTCAGGGCGGGGGCAGGGGAGGGTGGAGAAGGCACAGTCTGACTCTGCATAGACTTTTCTATGCAGCGAAAAGCTTCTCTCTTGCTTGTCTCACATCTCCTGACCAGGGCAGCCACTGGCAACAGAAGAAACTGAGTCTCTGCCCCCCCACCCCTCCCTGGGCCTGGGTCACAGCCAGGGAGGCTGGGCATGCTCTCCCACTAGCCCCTTGACGATTCTCTCTGGTTTCAGGCTGGGCTGGAGCTAATGTTCTTTACAAAGTAATCCTATAAATAAAGATGTGAGTCCGTGGCCATTCCACGGGACGCTAGTAACCCATGAGTTCCTTCTTCCCGAAGGTGACCCCGGACTCTGAAAACGACTTCGGGAATTACAACTGCACTGCCGTGAACCGCATCGGGCAGGAATCTCTGGAGTTCATCCTCGTCCAAGCAGGTGGGCGCCCTCATGGCTGCACTCGCCTTGCCCTTGATGGCCTGGTCCGTGCCCTCTGGTGACACTAGGAGAGTGAAAGAAGGGAGGGCCAGGGGAGCCAAAGACAGAGCGTCAGGAAGCACGGAGCCTATAGAGGCTCCAGGGTGTGGGCACCGGGCCCATTGGGAGGGACTCATACGGTGGGCGGCTGGGGGACCAGATGCAGGTGACAAGATTCCCAAGAACGAGCACAAACAGGAGACAAGCTTTGTGACTGGGAGTTACGTCCTGGACCTCATCGGGCTCACCCGGCTCTCCATCTGTGCCCTCCCCACAGACACCCCCTCGTCACCGTCCATCGACCAGGTGGAGCCGTACTCCAGCACAGCACAGGTGCAGTTTGATGAGCCCGAGGCCACAGGCGGGGTGCCCATCCTCAAATACAAGGCCGAGTGGAGGGCAGTGGGCGAGGAAGTGTGGCATTTCAAGTGGTACGATGCCAAGGAGGGTAAGTGGCGAAGAGTCCGCATTCCCTTTAGAATGACGGGTTGCTTGGTGCGGGGCACACACTCACCCACCATCTGTCCCTGTCCCTACGCTGCAGGACCATCCCCGTCTCTCTAGAATTTGGGCCCGGTCGCATGTCCTCTGCAAGTGTTGGCCCTCAGTCCCCTGGCACGTCAGAACCTGCTTCTCAGGACCATGCCAGGACGAGGCCATCTCAACCACGTTCCGAGCAGAAGCCCTGCTTAGGCGCTAAGCACAGCCGGAGGAGTCCGGACCCCCCCACCCCCCGCCCTGCACCTGTGGGTGGCCCAGGCCTCGGGTTCTCTGCCGTCACCCATCCAGTCCTGCTTGGTTTACTCGGGGACTATCCTGTGATGATGGTATTGACCACATAACAAATTGCCAGAGAGATGAGTCTGCTCTTAAATCCATCCCGTGATAGATTTCCAAGCTAAAAGTTTTCAGAATGACCTCTGGATGCCTACAATTTGAAGATTCCGAGCCCAGACTGTTTTGCCCTGAAGACGGAGTATTTAACTGTGTCTAACTCTCCCCACAGGGTTTAACCAGGACACGTCAGTGAAATACGCTTTGTTTCCATAGAAGTTTTAATCCCTGTCCTGTATGTGGTACAAGGGTGGCCGCCGTCCGGCCCTGATTTACTCAGAATTTGTTTCACCAGGAAGCCTCCGTCACTCCTTCAGCTTTTGCAGGGTGGAAAACCTCAGGGGGGAGTTTCTGGGCTGCCCGTTTGGAGCCAGAAGAAAACAATCTCTTTATCTCCCTAACTTCCCTCTGAAACCTCACACCAACTTTATGGCAGTCGATCCCACGTGACAGTCCAACGGGCTTTGTTTTGGGTTTTTTTTTGGTCATTACTGCAAGCTGGATTCCACCCTCCCCCCGCCCTTTTTATAAATATATATTTTTAAATTAAAATATAGTTAACATTCTAATTCTGTTTCTGTTGTGGCAAACTAGGTAGAACATGAAATTTACCATGTTAGCCATGTTTAAGGGTACAGTTCAGTGACATTAGGCACCGTCACATTATTGTAAAATCATCCCCACCATCCATCTCCAGAACTTTTTCATAATCCTAAACTCAGTGCCCGTTAAACGCTAGCTCCCCATTCCCAGCAACCACCATTCTGTTCCCCGTCTCTGTGTAGTTGACTGTTCTAACTACTGCAGATGAGTGGAATAGTGCAGTATTTGTCCTGCTGTGTCTGGCTTACTTAGCCTGATGTCCTCAAGGTCCACCTACACTGTAGCACGTTCCCGAGTGGGTTTCATGCCGTGGTAAAGCTGCCTGATACTCCCCTGTATCAGTACCACACCGCGTGTGTCCACTCACCCACTGAAGGACACTTGGGTCGTTTCCTGTCTTTGGCAATCGTGAACAGTGCTCCTACGAACGTGGGTGGGCGTCCGTTCCAGTTCTGCTTTCAGTTCTTTGGTGCATGTACCCAGATGTGGGTCACATGGAAATGCTGGGTCTAATTTCTTGAGGACCTGATGCTGCGTTCCACAGCGGCTGCTCCCTTTTACCCACGGGCTTTCCCCACTTGGTGATCTTTCTTATATTCTCGCGACAGCCAACATGGAGGGCATCGTCACCATCGTGGGCCTGAAGCCCGAGACGACATACGCGGTGCGGCTGGCGGCCCTCAACGGCAAGGGGCTGGGGGAGATCAGCACAGCCTCCGAGTTCAAGACGCAGCCAGTCCGTAAGTAAAAGCCGCCGCCCCGCCTCTTCCCCACCCCCACCCCCACCCTCTTCTCCTGGGGGCAGAGAGGACCCTGAGCTGCCCCGTCCATGGTTCGGATGACAGCTTTTTGTCTTTCAGATTCCTCTGCTCCAGGAGGTCCCCCCTCCTGGTTCCTGGGCCCTCAGTGATGGCTGATGCCCAGCCCCTTCTGTTCTCTTCCCCAAAGTGCCTGGTGACACTGTCACAGTAGCCAGTCCACCTGTTAGGCTAACAGCCAGAGAGGACACCCCTGGCACATTGTAAAGGGAGCAGGCAGAGATGCGGCGGCGCCTTGTGGAGGGAATTGGGAGATACCGCCTTTGGACACAGGTCACAAAGGCCCTAAAGCGCCCCGTGACTTGAAGGAAGAGGGTACAGACACTGATGGTTGGTGTAATTAGGCATGGGAGTTTCGACGCGGCAGAGAGATGACATCACAGAAACTCAGGGGCTGCCGTGTGACGTGCGGGGGAGCAGGACCCAGGCAGTGCACAAGCGCAAGGGGTGGCTGGGCCCTGACTCTTCTGCTCCTCCTCCCTCCCCGCCAGGAGCGCGTCAGGGTCTCCCTCCCTTGTAGCCTCTTTCTAGAGAGGCGCTTGCTTCCTCCTGATGCATTCAGGATGGCACCGCTTTCCTCCATCGTTCCCTCTTTGCTTAGACTGCGCCTGCCTCACTTTCCCTGCTGTCCCGCAGAAGGCCGGGCTCTGCTGATGGCCCTCCACAGACCCGCACCGCTAGGAGGACTGTGCGTCCGCCCAGCCGCAGCGGGTGCAGCACAGCCCACCCCCTGGGCGGTCACAGGGATCCCCGGCCCTCACTCGTTCCTGGGATTAAAAGCCACGCAGGGCAACCCCTTGCTTCCTTCTCTTTGAAGCCAGAGGCCCGCAAAGCAACCCCCCTACCTCTTCCCGAAGCAGAAGACCTGTCTCATCTTCCTTCTCCAGGAACTGCTTCTTTCTGGATTTGAAATAACATGATAATTTGAATTTCCAATTCCATGTGCTGTCCTGAGCCTATTCATTTCTTTCACATCTTTTTTTTCTCCCCCTTGGGTCTGTCTCTTGTCTTTTCTTATCGTCTGTGTTCCATCCATGGGAAATGCAGACAGCCCTCTTCCACGTAAGTGCCTCTTCATACCTCATTATCTGTTTCTATAGTGTTAACATCTGCTAGTCCTAGTTTTTAATTTAGTTCCGGCCCCTTTTTCGTCCCCTAGGCTGAACTAGATGATGCCGTCCGGGCCCTAACCACACTGACCTTAGTCTAGTTGTGCTCTTGTTAATGTCTGTACGTTCCTCCAAGAAGCTAACACTTGTCCCGTTGTAGAGCATGCAATTTCTGTGTCTTTGGAAGCTGTGTGTATTGATTAATTTCTGCGTGTGATGCCCCCGCGTGGCAATGCCACCAAGCCAAGCGAGGCGGGAGCCAGAGGGTGTTCTCTGCATTACACGCGAGAGCAGCGCCTCACCTTCTGCCAGGATGCCAGAGAAGTGGCCGCAGCCTGCCCAGGGATCCAGAACCCCCTCACAGGGAAAAGCAGCTGCAAGAACTTGCACACGTGCTTTGAGGAAATAAAAGGCTTGAGCTCGTAGCGCCTCCCTTTTCTGTCTGTGGCAGCTGGAGGGCTCCAGGAGGCCCGAGCAGCAGCTGCCGTTGTAAAGGATAACATGAGCTTTGGCTCCCAAGTCACAGGTGGGGGCTGCAGGCAGCTGCTGGGGGGTTAGATCCCCACTTCCGGTCAGTTGTGTTCTTTCGCGCGTGGCTATTATCGGTGTGCGTTTCCACTGGGAAAGACTGACCAGCTACTTAGTGTCTTCACTGCCAAGCCTATAGAGAGGGGGAGTTCTGCATGGGAAGGACTTGTGAGCTGTAAATAGTGAACAGAAGGAGCACGGATTACAGAAGGCCGGCCCCCTCCCTCCTCCTGGGCGGGGGGGCAGGGGGCAAGGAGTCTGATCTCTGCCTCCAAGATGCCCCCAAGCTTCACTCCTGCTGACGCTTGCCCCTTGCTCCTAGGCTGAGCTCAGAATAGTGGAGGGGAGTGTTACCCAGAGACACTCGGAAGGAAAGGTATTCAGAAAGCGGCACACTCTTTTCATAAAAAGCTCCCAGCTCCTGAAAGGCACTCAGGGAAGCTTATCTTTGTTAAAATTTATTCAGAAATATTGCAGCAACAGCAGAAACTAAGTAGCTCAGTGTAGGCGTTCTGAGATTTTGAGCGGAGCACTAAATCCATGATCTCAGCAGACTTGGTTCCCGAAGGAACCAGTTCTGGAAGGAGTCAAGACTGGGGATTGGGGCGGTCAGGTTAGGAGTGACAGCTGTCAGCTCCGGGCCACACCTGTCCCCCTAGCTAACCCAGAAGGGGCAGCTCTGAAGGTGAGAGCACTTCCTCCTGGGCCCTTATTCTCAGTTTGGGCCTCCACGGCTCTGGCTTGTGATCAGGAAATGAAAGCGGCTTAGGATAGTCACAGACAGGCAGGCCGGGATGAGGCGTCCTTGTGAGTGTCTTACTCGTACCTGGGGTTTGGGTACCAAATCACAGTAACTGGGGCTTCGACTTCAAAGCCCATAAGGGATTTTCATTCATTGCCAGCTCACCCTTTGTAAAGGTGAAGAATTTCTTAAACAGATGCTAGATTTTAAAAGTCAGTGTTTAATTTAAAAAAAGAGGGCAACCTCTAGACCTCGTTGTTTGTTATCTGCTAGTAAGAAATTGGGCAATTAACCCAGATTCCAAGAAGCCCTTTGGAAAACGGTGTGGTCAACTGTCCATTCCAAGGAGGGCGTCAACATCCAGCAGCAGGCATTGCCAGTGGCACGCAAAGTCCATTTTCTCAGTTCCCTAATAAAGTTATGGCCTAAAGAATTACAAAAAAAAAAAATCAAACTCCTTTTAGATAAGGAGAGCCTTGGCCCAGCCCTAGCGTTAAGTGCCTTTGTCAAGAACTTGAACGGGATAAGAGGCAGCGCACATGTGAGAACATCACGCTCTCACTAAAGTTCCTTCATGTGGTCTTTCCTGTACGCTCATGACCTTCCTCGAGAGGCTGAAGGGAGGGCCTGGCCTCCGGGGTACCCAGACCCATCCTGAAGAAGAATACGGTCAGAAGGGCCACTCTGGCATCTACCACAGCCATGACAAAACCTACTCACTGACTGCCACTTGGAAGTGAGGGCACGTTTTAGGAAGGACTTCTCTGAGTTCTCCCTCCCACAGAGGGCACAAGGGTTGTGTGAAATTAGGTAAATAAAACCAGACATCAATTCAGTTGTGTGCTCACAGCGAGCCCAAGAACAGCAGCATTGGCTTCTGACACCAGCTTGTCTCGCGGATTGCCGGTGCTTTCCCCTCCTATAATGTTGGGGTGCAGATGGACCGCCTGGTCCCGCGATGCTGGAGTTAGGCCCTCGGTGCACGCTCACCCCAAGGGAGAGAAGCTGTATGTTGAACAGAGTCAATGCTGCCAGAGCCCCCACCCCCATTCCCTGTCCCCCACCCCCTGGTTAGGAGGCAGTAGGTGAGAGCCAGTGCATTTTACATTAGTTTATCTCTTGACGTTCCTTGAGATGTGGCAATAACGGGGTTACCCTCTTGGTTCCCTAATAGACTGCAGGGGCACGAACATGCCAAAGCCCCAAATAACCTCAGAGAACTCCTGCTTCTGAGCTCCCATATTAGAAAGCATGGCTCACCTGTTCGAAGATTCCTTTGTGTACCGTTCGTACATGTGTGTGAAGGTAACGAGGCAATCGTGACTCCAAACAAACAAACAACTCCAGCCTGGAAAGATGTCCCTGTTTCGTGTATTTTGGGGCCAGATGTGTGCGAGGGAAAGCTCACAACCTCCGTTTGCCTTGGGAGGGGCTGCCTCCCTATCAAAGCTGCCGAGGCCCTAGCGCAATGATGTGACCGTTGATTGTGCGTCCTTCTCTCCGTGACTGAGCCACGCACCTTCAGCATTTCATTGCCTGAATGTTAACATGCTTCTGAACTGTGAAGCAAACAGACAGCTTCTTTCGGGTGTACAGATCAGAAATGAGTCTCTAGTTTGTAAAAGAGGCATGAGATGTTTGTTTTCACAAAATTTTGCCCCCTAAGTGACACATTGCAAGTATAAATTAAATGTATTCTAATATACTGTGTCTAAAACACATAAAACCCTGCCCCTTTGCCAGAATAATACGGACAGTTATGCAAACAATTGAAGCCAAAAAAGCAAAAGAGAAAGAGAGAAAGACATACATACACCTGGACATGAATTAGCCAGACCACCAAGTCACCATGAGTGAGTAGGCCATGTTGTTCTGACTCCCGTGCGTTGTCCTCGCGTGGTTTAACGAGGTCCCTCATCTGGGAGGGAAAAGGAAGACCAAACCACGAGCCCAGGCAATGCTGGAGGTATGGTGACGTTTTTCCAGATTTTCATCTAGCTCTTAGAGGGGCCTTTGTTTTGTGATTGCTGACCGAACAACCTCAGAATACTTGTCAGCGAAAAACTAGTCTATTCAGTGTCCAGAATGTCTCGGATGAGCCCTTGCTGACGGTCCTCCAAGCCAGAAGTGGGGTGAGCATTACTTACTCGGTCCCAGTCTCTTTAGCGTCCCCTTTGTCCAAGAGGGAGCGAGGGTAACACTCACAGCAGCATCCCGAGAATCCCCTCCCGTGTAGGGTTTTGGGGGGCGGCAGTGGTTAGAGGATCCTCCAGATGCCAAACAGTCCTGGACCCCCCCACCCTCCTCCCCTGGTAGTAAACTTCGAGTAGGAAGGTCGTTCCTCTGTCGTTGGGACATCGAGATTAGAGAGCAAGGCTTACAGGCTTCGCTCTAGTACGTGCCCAGAGTGGAGATGGAGGCCTGTACGGGAGCTCATGGAGATCTAGCACATGAAAAGCCAAAGCCTCCTTTTTTCCACGTTCGTCTTAAGCCAGGGTCCGGGTTCCCTCTGCTCCCGTCATCTGATCCTAAAGAGGCAGCTGCTCCTGCTGAACCAGAGGCCAGGCTGCAGGCTCTGCCGCGGTCCCCGGCCCGGTCCCTTACCCGCACCCTGAGGCTTGGCAGGGACTTGGGCTTCTGGTCTGAAGTCAGAGAGCCCTGCTCTCCGCTGGCCCGCAGGCCACCTGCCCTCATGCATGGGGCTTCTCCTCTGCGCTTTAACCAGCTTCACCTCCCAACACTGACACCCCGGGGTTGGCTCTTCCATTTTTTTTTTTTTCACTCCGTATGTGTGCCGCAATGAGCATTTTTTCCTTTTTTTTTTAATTTTTTTTTTACCTTCCTGTCTCTTTCCTCAGCGGCTCCTACTAGCTCCTCCACCCCCGCTCCATTGTCTCATCCCGATAGTGAGTATCCTTCTCTTCATCCATCTCTCCGCAGGCTGCTTTCCCCCAGCCACGGTGGGTCTGCGTTCCGTTATCTCCTCCACCAGGTGATAACTCAACTCTGTTGGCAGAAAGCAGCACTGGGTTTTAGAGAGGCAATGAGAAGAGAAGCAGGTGCAGAGCGTCCCCGATTCTCGGGGGGCAGCACCCCCCTCAACCCCCCGCCCCACCCGAAGAGTAGACAAGTGACAGTGAATCCTGCAGTCAGGCTCCCCAGGGGCCAGCGCGGCCCAGCCCGGCCCTGTCCTCGGGATTCTTCCCGGGCTGGACTCAAGCTGACATTTGGAGTAACCAAAGGGATTTGCCAAGGAAAATATCTCTTCTGCAGGGTCACAAGAAATGCTTTGGGGTGTTGTGTTTTCACCCTTCGTTTTAATTGGCACAGTTGGATTCAGACATTGAAATTAGATAGCGAGGCCTGTAGCTTTCGCTTTCTCCATAAATGCATACTTGTCTCGTAAATATTTGTGCGAAAATAAACAGTGTCTGCTTGCAGATGTGCCTGGCAGTAGGCGCTCAGGCAAATTACTTAACCCTTCACAAGTGAGCCTTGTTTCTCTCTTCCATAAAACAGGATGAGTAAATCGCCCCCCCCAACCCCCAGACCCAAAAAATCATCACAGCGCTCACCAGGCTGTGTTTGCCCACCCAGAAGCAGGACCCCAAACCTGGTTGGTGTCAGGCATCTCGTTCCCGACTGAGCCTCGCTCATTTATGATCTTATTTCATTTGGCTGCCCTGTCCTTCTATTCCCTCGAGGCTCAGGGCCTCTGACTCAGAGTTTTGAAGCCAGCTTTGGGAGGGCGGGGGGCACGTGCAGCTGCATGAGGCCCGAGATGTCATGCCAGCAGGTGCCCAGAGCCACAGGCAGAGGGCAGGCACCTCCCACCGGGCTGGATCCTCCCTCAGGGATCCGTATCGGAAGGTGGCGCGCTTTGGGCACAGCCTCAGCAGGTGACTCAAGCCCCGCACTCAGAAGCCGCCTGCAGCATCTGCTTGGCTCGGAAACAGGCCCGCCTCGGCAGGTGCTGATGTCCCGACAGTGGCTGGAACTGCAGGCCTTCAGGCTTGAGACCCAACAGGCTTGGGTTCAGATCCCGCGTGAGCTCCCTCCGCGCTCAGCTCCATGGGCCTGAATGAGTCGCTCCGCCTCCTGAGCCCCAGAGCCCGTATCTCTCAAGTGAAGGGTAGATTCTTCCCGTTCTTGTAGGTATCTGCAAAAATCCAAGACTAGGTTTGAAAAACACAAGACACAGTGCCCAGCACATAGTAGCTGCAGTCTGTGGTCAGAATAAATGAGGATTATGTTCTTTCTTGCCACAGGAGAGTAACTGGTCAGCAAAACCTCTGATAATTCTTTTAATCTCTGTATTCATACTGATAAATCATGGAAGAAGGAGGTGAGAGAATATCCCCTTCTTTATAATAAGGTCTAGCTATGCATATAAACAGATACATATATTTACTTACAAATATAATTTATATCTCTGTTCTCTCCTTCACCTTTCTGTGCCCTTTCTGCCTTTCGTGTTTCCGTAGCGACCTGGCCTCCTTCCGCCCTCCCAACCACACAACCGTCTAGTGAGTATAGAGTTACGGCAGCTCTTGGCCAGATTGCTGCTTGTTGCCAAGCTGACTTCTGGGTCGCGGTGCTGCCCGACATTGTCCCTTGTATTAAAAGCCACAGCTGTGAATGCATGGAGGCTCTCCCCTGGTGTGGTTTCCTACGCATGCTGTCTGCGTGGCCAGGAGAACCGAAAGAGCTGGGGTGGTTAATGTGAAGACTATTCTGCATGAGGAGAGTTTCCCAAATTTCCCTTCGTGTGAAACAACAGAATAGGATTAGAGAAACACCAGGGAGACAAAAGAACAGCATCTCTTCCCAGCTTTTGTTGTCCTTCCCCTCTGAAGCGTGCACACACACGTGCACACACACGTACACACACACACACACACACGTTGCCGAGACTGAGAACAACGGAAGGAATAGAGAGAAACAAAGAGGTAGGAGGTGGAGTGGGCAGCAGAGAGGGCAGGAGCTGCTACTTCCTGACAGCACACCTGCTTTGTGGCACCGCGAGGCGAGGCAAGGGGGCGTGGGGGCTACATGGGGCACTCGCGGGCAGTGGCCTCCTCATCGCCCTCCTCCTCAGTGCTAGGAAAATGCTAGAAAGCATAGTCAAGCCCCCCTCAAATCTGTATGCCCAGAGTCCAGATCAGAGTTCTGGAATTCATCTGCTGAGGGTAGAGTCGGGGCCAGAGTGTGGAAAACATTACACTTCATCACAACTGTGACGGGCTCCAGGCTTGCCCATTATGAAGCTCTAATGAGGTGAGCTTGTGTGTGAGGCCTTAAGCCCCACGTCAACAGGAGCCCCATGCCTCTCTGGGTGTGGGTGTGGGTGTGGGTGTGTGCCTGTGGAGGGAAGGTGTGTGTTTACGGTGGTGTCCACAGCCGTGTGGACCTATAATTTTTCTGAGTGCACGGGAAGAAATGACATGCTTGCATTGAGCGGTGGCCCGAACGAGAAGGCAGAACGCAAGTATGCAGAATACAACTCCCACTCACTCATGGGGCCAGGGTTTCTGATACATAATTGAACAGGGAAGAAAAGAGTCTTCCTGGTTCTGTGCGTTGCATGAAATGGTTCTTTTCTCCGCTGCAGAACATAGCTGAGGGTCTGCTTTCTTGGTATTCTCTCCGTGTGTGTGTGTGCTGCGATGAATTTTAATTCCCGATGCTTTCATTTTGTCGGCAGAGCAGGGGACAATGAACTATGTTCACACAGGTTTCACTCAGATGATGGGCTGTTTTGTGGGTGGGGTTTTTATGGTTTTGTTTGTTTGTTTTTTGCATTTGGGAAAGGAATGCAATTAATAGCACCCTTTCTTCTTCTAACAGCCATGTTCCTGGCCTTCCCAGCTTGGTGTGGTGTGTGTACCTGGCATTGTAGGAGGAGGCTATATAATGCGTTTGCACAGCTCGGTCATACTTAAGGTGCCTCACTGTAGACTCGTCTTCCCTGGAACCTTGAATCCAGATCTTCCCTTAAGGAGGAATGAGGCGTTCTCCCTGACAGATGTTTAGTTTTTTAAACACCAGACGTTTCTGTCCACAGATAAAATGCCCAGGACTGACATCAAAAGAAAGTCTGTCTTTTTTTTTTTTTCTTCTTTTTGCGGCACTGGACTACTGACCCAAATTGTAAGTCCCAGTGGATGCTGGGATGAAGGAAAGACGGTCACACTTGGACAGCAGCCTGTATTTGCCATGGGGATGTTTCTTGACAGTAAGGCAAAAGGTAGCACATGTGAATGCAGGGAGGTAAGAGCAGAGTACCAAGACGCCAGTCAGGGATGAAAATAAATAATGTCTCCTGTTTTGCTAGGGAGTGGGGCGGGGGGGGGGGCGGTTGGCAGGTGGGTGGGTATGCTGATCCCCCTATACTTCTGAATGAATGAAGGTATCCCGGATAAAATCAAAAGAGAAGCTCATGAGTTGGATCTGATCCCCGCAGGGTACCCTTGGTTGGAACGTGCCAGAGCCCGTGTGGTATCAGACAACAGGGAGCACAGCCTCCATCTGCTCAGAGCGGCAAGGATATATAACCGGGCTGAAGCATCTCTCTTGCGTTATTTTTAAGCAGTGGTGTGTTCTGGACACAAAGAGCCTTCCAGCTCCCCTCTCTGCCCTTCTCTTAGCTTCAGCTGGCCATAGCCTGATCTTCCCCTGGCCTGTGCAAGTGAAGGTAGGAAACCCAGACTGCGTGTGGACAAGGCAGGTCATTCGGTAAAAAAGTATAGAGCCAAAATGCAACAGATGACAAAAAGGAATGTGGATAAATCCAAATAAGAAAACTTTTTTTTTTTTAATGGTCAAAATCAAATCCGTATCTTATCAAGTAGAGCCACCAGTGGAGAGAGAGAACTGTATCCACCAATGCCCAAGTGCGTGGTCAGGGTCAAAGTCTTAGCTCGTGGGGCCAAGGGGCCAGTTCGGTTTCACTGCTCAGTGTTGACAGAGCCATTGTCTCCACCACTAGAAGGAAACCTCTTCCCTTTATGCACCAACTGGCCTCCGCCTTCAAAGTTGTCTCAACGGGGCTGCCCCCAGGGGCTCTGGGATAAGGCGGTAGACGAACTAGAGAGTGGAAGGGAACCCCCAGGGCTGCCCTCTCTGGCCCGCGCCCACCAGCCTTTATTCGGCCCGCGCCCGCTCTCCTCATGCACCAAAGGAAAGAGGAAGTGGCTTTTCCCAATGTAACGAAATACTTTGTTCTTTCAGGACACACAGCCTTGGGACTTCTGCAAGCCCCACGCTCTCCCTTGATTACCCTCGTTTTCCAAGGATGCCGAGACACTTCTGGGATCTGTGAATAATAACTTGCTTTTTTCTTTTTTTTTCCCTTCAACAGTCTCCTGGATTGACTTTGACACCTGGGTGCTGGCAGAAACACCTCCCTATTTCCAAACGAGTTTACATACTCCTTGATGTGGTATTAATATGCAGTGTGGCAGCTGTATCTAATGCTTATTGGCGTCGTTAACCAAATGCCCGTCATGATTTATTATCCTTCTATTTCTGGGCAGTTTTACTGTCCTCCCAATGTTTCCTGTATATGCTGCTAATTTAATTTGATTTCTCCTTTTATTTAGTCTGTGATTTTGTTGTTGATTTTTCTCCCTGCCCATTGTTTACATCAGTTTTTAATTTTTTTGTATTTTCCATGTGACCTCCTCCACTTTCCTTTCAACCAATCATGTGCGTGCGTATCATGTGACTTTGTCATGTGGCTTGCATGGCGCTGATGATGTCGTCCACGCTGGTGAACAGAAGGTAAAACTCTTTGTTCTGATTAGGGAAATAAACCTGGGGCCACAGCCCGGCACCCAGGACCCACTCATCGCTTCCTGTCTCAGATCTACCGAGCGAAGCCATTTGAGAGATTTCCACTTGAAATTCCTCAGTTCACCTCCAGAATCCATCAGTTCTTTGCGTCCCTGACATGACAGTTTGATACCGTGGCAGCCTTTGGTTTAACATTTCACTGCCAGAAACTTGGCCCTACAAACTGTCGTCCACAGCGAAACCACATTCACCACCACGCAGTTTGCAAACTTGAATTTCTACCGCATAGTTCATAAAAATTATTTCCCAGAAAGCGGCTTTGTAAATGACCCTTATGACATTGTTGCTTAACTTTATCCAGTAGTTCTGAAAACCACAGCTGCTCTGAAATGAGTCACTTCTGTGAAAATGTGAAATGTATCTGTTTACGACACTGAAGCACCACAGAGAGAGAAATGTATCAGTTGCAAAAGTTCTATATGCTCCAAACCGAGGAGAGTGCTTCATAAAATTCATGCAAATCGAGGACTTTCTGAAGGGAGAGATGTAAGAATTTGGAGTGCAAGCAGTTTGCATTGTGGCTGTGTCACTTTTTAAGAGTGACCCTCCCCCCTGGGCAATGGGGGGAAGAAATCAAAGCAAAAGCTGGCAGTTAGCCATGACCAGAGACCTCTTTGTAATCAAGAAGCACATGGTTGACCCTTGCAGCAAAGGAAATAAAATTATAGCCTAATTAAGCGCATAGCCGTGACAAAATAATTAGTTAATACTGTGACTGTCACAACCTTGTGAAAACATTTCTCACTCACCGTAAAGAGAAAAGGAAGCTTCTGCTAGCAACTTCCCCGCTGTAGAATCAAACACGTATTCAAAACCTGCCCTGGGAGTCATTCGCATTCTGTTCTCTTCTAACTGAAAATTGATACTTCACGTCACAACTTGAGACACATATGGCCCTGCCTTGATCGCAAAAGCCAGACTAACACGAATAACTGCCCAGTGTGCCCGTGCATGTGACGGGTCCCCGCCTGGCCTCACGTCTCTAGGGACCTGATGGGGCGACATCCACACAGACAAAACCGTCCACAACTGTCTTGCATGCATGTTCTCTGTCCCTGGTCTTTCCTCTCGTTTCGTGCCCCCATGCGTGTGAGCCTTGTGGCTGCTTCCTCTTGCTCATCCCGCACACTGACCACCTCTGAGGACGCCAGCTTTCTGGGCGTGGCCACTGTGCTGGTGTTGAGCCCCATTTACAACCAGACTCCTGGACGAGGTCTTGAGTTGGAGCCATCTGTCACTTCCAAAAAGATGTTTGATATCTACACTGTCCGAAACGAAGTGGGTGTGTCCCCAGAGCAGGGAAACATCTGACGTGCTAATAACTTTGACTTAACCTTCAAAAGGCAACCTGATCTGTGAATCTTAGGGCAGAGGATGCTGGGAGCCTAAGATTTTCTAAACCCCCGAGTCTCACTCCGGATCCTGTGGTTTCATTGTTTCCCTGAGGGAGACTGTGTTCTTCTAGACTTGAGGTGACTGCTCCAAGGGGAAAAAGCCCTAGTCTTCTCCCTGAGATCCAGAAGGTGAGCAGATGTTGGGCTGAAACCCATCAGTTTCTTTCTTAGAAGCAAGTTCAGTCATCTCTGTGCAGTGCTAGAATTTGGGACGAAGCAAAGCACAACTGAGCAAGGTTGAAGCAGATCTACACCTCTAAACAGAGACTTCTTCCAGACATTTTAAGCAAGGCAAGAAATATTTGAAGATGTTTCCTGCGGTTGCCCTAGAAATGCACCGTGGCAATGGCCTTGGGGGCCAGGAAAAATGTGGCCAGTGTAAAAGAAAAAATCACTTAAGTGCCTGTGGAATTCGAAAGCATGGTCACCCCTCATCAAACCACACATTCTCTTCTGTGACAGACCCCCTCTTGCCATTTGCAAAGGGACAGGTGGATGACTCATGATTCAGACGAGCAGCAAGCAGCCAGAAATGGCCTTTAATCATACAGTGTAAGGGAATGGAGAGGGCCAGAGCAAATAAAATTCATGGGGGAGAGAAACAAAGCTTAGTGAAGAACAGATGTCTTATTTCTCTGATCATTAGGGAGGCTCTCAGGTGAGTGGGGGCTGAGGATGGGTAAGGGAGCAGATGTCTCTCCCAGCAGAGGGGTGTACACCCGACAGCTGATGGAATCCAGTTCCTGTTCACAAATCTGGTTCCTGTGCCCCCCCACACACACAAATGGCTTAGGATGCCCTTGACACGTGCTGGATGTTCTGTGAACCTCAAGTTCCTGTCCACGTGTTGACTGGGTTCAGCAGCACTGGGTCAGAAGAAGGGAGGTGAAGACAGGTGTTGAGCACCATGCCCTTGGCTCCCTTAGCTCCTGACCCCACAGAGCTCTGCTAATAGGGGTTCATGACTGGGAAGGTCAGCCACCTGGTCCAACATCCCAGGAGTGGCCTTGCCATGGTGAGCTGAGATGCTCCCGTGCCAAGTGTATTTTTAATATCGTGACGCCCATTCTGGCCAGGCCCCCTTCCTCCAGTGGCTCCATCAGCTGTGAGGACTCTGTGTAAATGGGCCTCCCCACCCTCCCTGCCGCCAGCATGTGTGAGCCCCCTGCGCCCCTCTGTCAGTTTGCTGCATGTCTGAGCATGGACCCCCTCCTCGCCCCCCCGCCCATTCATAACGATCTTCTTTTCTTTAGCTACTGACACTGCCTCTCGTACTAGGACATGCTGATTCTGATGAACTAAACTCCTTAACACCCACTCTTCCTTCTTAGATTGAAAACATCACTAACCACCCCTTCCACTCCTTCCTTTATTTTATTTTTTATTTTTTTTTTTACAGCTGTGTGTCTGGATTGCCACGGTCTCTGGCAGGTCAACACAGACTTTTCTAATTGCCTTTATTCCTAAGGATTCTCCGCACTGGCGGTTACAGAGTAGAGAGCTAGCATGAAGGGTCTGCAGAGGGGAGGCAGTGACGCGTGTCGGCCTGAATCCTGGGGGCAGAGGCCGGGGACTCTGCAAAGGGGCCCTCTCCCTAGGGCTTCCCAGGAGCCTTGTACTTCTTTATAAGCAACCTAACATCCGTGAAATCGTGTGGAAGACGTTCACAAACTCCCCCTTGTGGCCTCGCAGGCAGAAGCTGAGTCAATTGTTGGAGGTTATTTGGGTCCCAACTTCCTCAGCCTGGATCAGCCCCATAACCACAAGCCATACCTTCGTGGTCGTATTTTCATTTTTAGGATGATGATGAAACAGAGGTAATTGATCAATTAATCCGGTAGTGTTTTCACGACACCCACGAGAAGGGAATTGGTATCTCTGTGGTTCAGTCTGTCAGAGTTCATCTGTTGCTGTTCAGTTCATAGCCCGTCCGTGCTGCGGCTGGCCCCCCACCCCCTCCCCCAGCTCGCACGCTCACGTCCATAGTTCCCCAGGAGCCAGATTTGAGAGGGCTGTGTAGGCTGGATGCCCCTGTGAGTGTGACCACAGGGCTAGCGTCCTTTCTGTAAAGAGCCAGGGAACTGGCCGTGCCTTATACCCACTCCCCGTGTCCGCCAGCGTTGCCAGAGCCGGGGACCAGAATGGCAGGGAGTCCAGTGGAGCTGGCACAGTAGATTCCTAACGACGAGGAGAAAAGAGCTCGGGTGAGCTTCACTCCCAAGCCCCGATTTGGGGGAGCGATGCTTACTTAGGACAGATTGAACCCCGTCCAGGGTTGGGAATGTTCAGACTGATAGAGGCTCGCCGGGACTGTCAGAAAGCCCCCTCAGCCAGGCCGGTTGTCAAAGGGGGTGTCCCAGGGTGTTTGAGACCCCAAGGATGAGAGCAGCACAGATCCCATTAGATTCATTTGTTCGGCAAAGAGCCTGGTCTCAAGAAGGACATTGGCAGCCTAATAACTACAGATCCTAAGGCCAGTCAGACTTCTAACCTCTTGATGTAATTTCGGATGTTCCTGAGTTGGAAAAAATCGAATGGGCTTCATATGTGAATAGCCAAGTCATACATTTTGGACTCTTCTAAACATAATGATAAAAAAAAGCATATGTAAGTTTCACATCGCTTGCAGGATGTAATGGACCAAAGGGGAACAGGAGTTAGGATAAACAAAAGAGACAGTATTTCTGATTCCAGACAATCCTGTCTGATGGTAAACCTCATAGATTCTGATGCAAGCCCGACGCCCATCACTGGTTTTTACTCAGAGGCCCCAACGTCTGTGCAGGTCCCTGCAGGAGAGAAAGCAAAGCCCAGGAAAAAAGAATACAGGTCAGGCCTCTGTCAGGGATCCCATCGGGCACCTCAGCATTTCAGCCAGAAGATAAAATTCTTGGTACTTGGGCGTTTTTGAGTGAGAAGTAGAAGACTGTTTTCCTTCTAAAATTCACAAGTGCTATCCAGACCCCCTGAGCCTGCTGTAATTTCTGTTGTGGTCTTCCGATACCCTGAGATTTTCTGACCTCAGGACTTGTGCTGACCAGGGCAAGGAAGGACATGAAGCTGACTCAGATTTTAGGGCACAGTAACACACAAATCACAAAGAGCCTACAATTGCAAGGCCAGAAATACACACTTCGATTACGATTTCCGAGAGGAAGGTATAGGATGTGCCTGTCACATTTCTGACTGTATGTGGTTTCTGTGCTACATTCTTCTCTTGCATCCATGAATTAACTCTTCCAGAAAATTCCAGAGCTGCCTAATATTTTATATTTATTATCAGCAAGGTTTTTTTTTAATGTTTTATTTATTTCTGAGAGAGAGCGAGAGAGGCAGTATGAGCAGGGGAGGGTCAGAGAGAGAGGGAGATACAGAATCCAAAGACAGGCTCCAGGCTCTGAGCTAGCTGTCAGCACAGAGCCCGATGCGGGGCTCAAACCCACGAACCGTGAGATCGTGACCTGAGCCGAAGTCGGACACTTAACCGACTGAGCCACCCAGCCACCCTGCAAGGTTTATTTTTAAGGTGCTATTGTTTTGAGTCTTTACATGAAATATTTGGGGGGCAAAATTTGACTCATGGCTGAAGCTAAATTCAGAAGGTGTAATTAACCGCAGGGGTTTCCTTGGAGGAACCTGCCGATTGCTGCTGAATTGCAAACCAACATTTAAAAATAATTACAATATTGGTTTTGCTGAAATTACCCATAATGATTTCAATCAGAGCAGCCATTTCAGAACAGAGTGCACATTGGGACCCTCGAAATAATTTCCTCTCCTAATGTGTTCAGCAAAGCAGTGAGCCACCCAAATGCCAAAGCCCCATTTCTTCAGGATCAGCCCCAACCCTCGTCAAGTATGGCTGGAGCCTTCTTTTGACCGAGAGCTCAGGGAGCAATTTCTTTTTTTTTTTTTTTTTAATGTTTTTATTTATTTCTAGGAGAGAGAGAGAGAGACAGTGTGAGCAGGGGAGGGTCAGAGAGAGAGGGAGTCACAGACTGAAACAGGCTCCAGGCTCTGAGCTGGCAGTCAGCACAGAGCCCGACGCGGGGCTCGAACCCACGAACCGCGAGATCATGACCTAAGCGAAAGTCGGACGCTTAACCGACTAAGCCACCCAGGTGCCCCTAGGAAGCAATTTCTTTGGCCTGTTCGTAATCTGGAGAAAAATTGACAGACAATGTGCATTTGAAGATGGAGAAGACCATTGCTTAAACAGCTATTGCTCTTTCTACACCTTTATGTGACTACAATGAGTTGCATAGCTACAGAGTTGGTAAGAATCCCTCTGATGTTAGTTGGAGATCATCTTCCTTTAGAAACACCATCACAGGAAGGGTTACCTTTACATACAAGGGCCCCGCCATTTTTTAAAAAGAGTTGATCATAACTAGGTTTCTTTTTTTCATTTGGCAAACAAAACTTTGTCTTGTTCGCCTTTGAAACCCCAATGCCTAAGAGATTACCCGGTAGCTGAGGGAAGGTAGGTACTCAGTAGATGTTTGTGGAGTAAATCATAGTTAAAGCACTTTAAACGATACATGTAAATATTATATGCCACGCTCTACATTCTGTAAGAAAGAAATACACAGATATCAGAATTACATGGTAGTCGCTCCAATAAAATCACAAATTATAGTGTTCCAACTTTGGTAAATGTTAGAACTGTATTCTAGCTGTGGTATAGTTTTTAGTGATTTCTCTGTGGTTCCAGTTAATATTTTTTTTTTCTGAAACACATCCAAAGATAAGACTTGACTGCTTTCATCAAGTCTCTTAGTTTCTGCAGGGAATCCTTGGCAAGATACCTGTTCCTATGTCTCTGAAGACAGTTGGGGTCTCTTTGCAAAGATAGGGCTTCGGGGAGGATAGCTTTTAAAATTGTAAAGAAAAAATGGACATCCCTGTGCCTGAGAGATGTGGAGTTGCTGATCTGGGGGTACATTGCCCCAAAATTGGCAGGACCATCCTTATGTTGCGTCCGTCTTTCACAAAGTTTTGACAACAGCCAAAGTATTCCTGATAGTTTGTCCTAACAGTGACTGTCACTGGGTCACCATGCTGTCAGAGCGAGAGGGGGCCCCTGGAGAACACCTCATTCGGGGTACGGATTCTGCAAACGTGGATCCTGAGGCAGTGGCCTGTCCCAGAATTCAGTTTTACAGGCATCCATCCCCACAAACATGAGAAAGAGAGCCTCTTCTAGGTAGATACTACCTCCCCCACCCACAAAAGCAGAGTCCAGTGTTTTTTGCGGTCTTGATTGAGCCTTGAAACCCACGCTGCTCAACTCTGGAGGAAATAATAAGGAAAGTTCAGCCAGTCTAGCCCCGCAGATTAATCTCAGTTTACCTTCCAAGGAAGCCTTGAGGGAAGGACCGGGTCCTTGCTCCGTGACCATGTTGGAAGGGCCACTGGTGACACTGCCTTCCCTCCTTCTTAAGGCAAATGGACCAACGCAGAGTCAGCGTTGCAATTCTGAATAGAAAAGTCCATCCCCGTTCCGTCTCGGGCCACCAGCTCTCCCTGCTGGCCTGAGTGCAGGACTGCAGCTCTCACACCTGTAGGTCCCAGGCTAGCCAGGAGCAGCCGGTCCCCCTCGTTCAGAGAATAGAATTGTCAAGTTCTCCCGTGCCCTGTCCTGCTGTCTGTGACTCTGCGCAGACCTGTCCCATTCTGACATATCTTCCACTTAGTTTGAGTTTCTTTCTAGCCTCGGGTATTTACGATGATGTAAGACATGACTAAACTGTTGTCTAAGGCTTAGGACAGTCCAAAGGAGTCTGAAAAGCACACCCGCCTTGACATTATCGACACCAAATTCCTAAGAATTTTGCAAAGAATAGTTAGGACCAGTGGCTGGATAGCGGCACGAAAACAGGACAAGTCTTTGCCTAAAACCTTATTATTGTCTTTTTTTCCCCGTGTTTCTTTTTACGTAATTACCGATGGAAGAACAAACATGACTTTTCTTAAATCATCCCTCAGACATTACAAGGATGCACCCTCCCTGTCAGCTGCTCCGTGTCCCCATCACAACGGTGTCTCAAGCCTAAAGGTGCACACGGATCACCTTGGGATCTCGTTGAAATGGAATCTGCGTTTCTAACTTGCTGCCAGGTGCTCAGGCCCAGGCTGAGCAGCAAGGGCTGGCCATTAGCGTTCCCTCTCTGGTTCCTCCCTGTCTCAAAGTGGGGAGCAGGACCCACGGCCACTGTGAGGCTCCCACAGTAGCTGAATGAGGCGGGTGGGCTGAATGGCTTTACCAGCAGCCTCGTCACAAGTGGCCAGAGGTACACCTTGGGGTGATGAGGTCCAAAGCTTAGTGACAAACCTTTCTGGGTTCTTTGGTCACATGTCTGTGACTCTATCTTCCAGCAAACAAGCCAAGACAACCCACCCAGAAGGTGACTTTTTATAGGCTCTCCCAGTTCTCTGTCTGAGGGCACGAAATAGAGAGATACGTCCTCGAAGGAAGTGTGGAATTCCCAAGTGCGTTAAATCTTCACTTCAACTTTTCCTACCAGGCATTCTCTTACCTCATTACGCCCAGTACACACTAGTGAAATCGTTTCTCGATAACGAAATCTTCTCGATAAAGAAAGCCAGCATCTTAACTCACCGAAGAGCCATCCCAGCCCTGGTAATGCGTCCCAGACTGAGCTCCATCTTCCATTGTCCGTGAGCTGCATGTATACTGCAAATAGAGACATCAACTTTCTTCTGCTGAGAAATGCTAAAGCCATTTTTCCCCCTCTTCCCTCTCACAAACAGAAAGACTTCAATGATTGTTACTTTAAACAAGGTACCAAGGATTATCACTCAGGCAGTTGAGGCATAAATGGCAGGATGCCTACAGGAGGCTTGCCCGTGGCAAATTGTGCTTTATTTAATCATACCTGGAGACTTGTACTACTTTTACATGAATGAATCTAAGTAATACAGTTTAATTCATGGAAAGCTGGTCACAAGAATGCAGTGTGAGTCCATCCCCTAATGGGTCCCCTGGCCCTCTGAGATGAATCATCTATCCAGGGAAGAAACTGGCTGCTTTGAAGACTTATGTTATGGGTGTGGGTTTTCTCCTTTAAACACTTAAACACATTTTCCCGTTTTTCAGGCTGTTCCTCAAATGTATCAGGCTCATCAAAGTTAAATCTGCAGTTATAAGAGCAGTGAAAAGGAAATGCAAGCACCAGTGAGAAACATTTAAAAAAAAAATCCTATTTCTAAAATGGTAAAAGGACTGTGCTGATAGAGAGGGTTTCCCAGAACATCCCCAAAAGGCACTCCCGGTTTGGGGCTCAGTCTGAGGTGTCTCACTGGAATCCGAAGTTCTGTATTTATTGCTGTTTAACCATTTGAATTTCTGAGAAAGCAAGTAAAGAGCCTAGCCCCACCCCATCACTCCATCCCATTCTGGATTGGATTTTCCTCGTGTGGGCAAAAATGTCACATGAATTAACTGGCTGTTTCAGGGGAACCCAGCGCACCTAAACTTGAAGGGCAGATGGGAGAGGATGGAAACTCTATTAAGGTGAATCTGATCAAACAGGATGATGGCGGCTCCCCCATCAGGCACTACCTGGTCAAGTACCGAGCGGTGAGTAGCTCCTGTCCCCTCTTCACATCACACCCACCATGTTGGGGCAACAGCATGCACGCCCGGGGGGTGGGTAGTGCAGGACAGAGTCCTTCTGTGTCTTGCAGGTGGCTCAGGGACCCTGCTCAGGGTTTGAAATCCCAAGACTGACCTACAGCCATTAGGCCATGTCTACACAGGGACCATTTCAAAACCTCTAAAATGGTTGTGGCGACAAACTCACACCATGATCGATTTTTCTACTTCTTGAACGTTTCTACAAAGTGATTTTGCAATTACCCGGTGCTTTTTGCATATAATACACTGATATATCATTATCAGGACGTTTGATAAAGTGTGTATCACAGGCCAGGCACTGATTTTCTCCCCATGAGAACCCGAAGAAGCTGGTCTTAATGATCATCTGCCCTTTACGGAGGACGTAGTATATGCGTTTGGTAACTGCCTCATCTCTCACGGCTGGGTGGGCAGAGCTTGAGTCGGGTCTGTCTGAAGACCCTGGGCTGTTAGCCACTGCCCTAGATGCCTTACCATCCCAAGCCATGGTATTCCCACCTGCCCCTCAAACCTACCTGAGCTGTTCTGATCCTGCGAACCGTGAGCTTGGCCCTGAACCCTTTCTTCCTGGTTTGCTCACCCTCTAAGAATTCTGTCATTCCCCCTTTCATCTCCCTCCCCCCAAAGTGAGAATCACTCTTTTTCTGGTTTCAGAATGACACTTGGCCACTGCCGGCCACAGTCAATTGCTGACAGATGTAGAGGCAGCCTCAGCACTGGGAATAGTCTCTCGCTAGGATTTCTTACCAGGAGGAATAATGAACCAGAAGCAGTTTCCTTTCTTGCAGTAGCCCCCAAGAAAGGATTTTTCAAGGAAGCTGACTTACTCCCTCTCTTTTGATCAGCCCCCACTGAAAGGATGTGGGAGCTCTTGCCTGGTTAGGCTTCACGGAGAGTCACTACAGCATGGGACCCTGCCAGGCACTGTTCCCAGCTGCCGGGCAGACCTGTCATTCCACTCAGCCCTCCCCCACTTCATTGTGAAGCCGGCTTGAAGAGCCGCCTCTGACTCCTCCAAGGCCCATCCTAGAGGCCCCACTGTATGACCAATCCCTGTGGCTTCCTCGCTGTGGAGTAGGATGCCAGGATTGAGTGGTGGCCCAGCACAGCCCACGGGAGGTAGACCGTGTGTGTCTGGCCCTTGCTATGCCGATGTGGCCCCGACAGAGATGGGTTCCAGTTTTGGTTTTACCACTTATCAGCATGCCCAGTCTTCCAAAACCTCCATTTCTCCATCTGTAAAATGGAGATAAAATAGCCTATGATGTTACTGTACAGATCAGGAATATAAACCAAGAACCTGAAATGTGCCTCCAACTTGGAAACCCTTGTACATGGTAACAACAGTAATTACCACTAAGATGCCAGCTGGGGCTGGGCCATCTCCGACACGAGGCCCCCTGAGATGTCAGTTTTCCAGAAGAGCCACTGTGGCTGTGCCAGGCAGGTCTGCGTTAAAAAGACAACGGGGAGGGGCCCCTGGGGGCTCAGTCGGTTGAGCCTCCGACTCTTGATTTTGGCTCAGGTCATGATCTCACAGTGCTGAGATCGAGCTCTACGACGGGTCTGCACTGAGCATGGAGTCTGCTTAAGATCCTCCCTCTCCCTCACCCTCTGCCCCGCCTGTGCTCATGCATTCTCTCCCCCCTCAAAAAAAATATAGTGGGGATAGAGCACCAAAATATGACAGCCTTACCTGCCTTCTCTGTCCCTTTGTCTTCCACTTCAAACACTCAGTGTTTGCTAAATATTATTAACATGTTGTTAATATTTTTATGTAACATAATATTTGCTGTATATTCTGGTTGCCCCTTTATTATAGAGTTTGCCAAGGAAAGGAGCCTTTCAGAGAACGAAAAGACAGGCAGCTGAATTTCTTTGTTTTAAATTAAACCCGGGCCACGTAGTGACATACAGCCACATGACTGTGCAGCCTGACAAATCTTCACAGGCTGTTTGTAGGGATCCAGTGAGAAAATTATCAAAAGCCTTTAGTACAGTGCCAGGCATACAGCAGGTGCTCAATAAATAATGTTTCTTATTTTTTTAACGTTTACTTATTTTTGAGAGAGAGAGAGAGAGAGAGCACCAGCTGGGGAGGGGCAGAGAGAGACACACACAGAATCTGAAGCAGGCTCCAGGCTCTGAGCTGTCAGCACAGAGCCCAGTCGATGAGGGGCTCGAACCCACGAACCTTGAGATCACCACCTGAGGTGAGGTCAGGTGTTCCACGGACTAAGCCACCCGGGCGCCCCTGATCCTTTTTATTTTTAATAAGATGAATTGATGCAGTGTTTCCATGTCCAGGAGGCAAGTCACCCATATCTGACTGAGCGTGAGCAACATCCTAAATGAGACAAGAAGCACGTTTGTCTCATTACTCTTGTGGGGCATCCATAGGCATAGGCAGAGCGTAGCATGGCAGCTGGTCCCTACTTGGGTCCCCATGTGCCCTCACCGCAGCAATGGTACGGGACACTGGAGGATTGGCCCAGTGCCACACTGCTATTCGCCAAGGTCTCTGTGTTTGCAGACACACAAGGCTGACCTGACCTGCGTAATCCTTAGGGTTTTTCAGGCTGGTAAAGAATGAATGCCATGTCCTATCACTGGTTTTTGCTTTATCAGTTTATGCCAATAGTTAGTGACGCCCTTGAGTTGTTCCTGTTCACTGGCCTCACCAGCATTTGTATTTCAACTTTCCTGGTGTCTTGTGTCCTTCCTGCCGGTTTCTCCCAGAAGCTCTCCTCGGAGTGGAAACCGGAGATCCGGCTCCCATCCGGCAGTGACCACGTCATGCTCAAGTCCCTGGACTGGAACGCTGAATACGAGGTCTACGTGGTGGCCGAGAACCAGCAGGGGAAGTCCAAGGCGGCTCATTTTGTGTTCAGGACCTCAGCCCAGCCCACAGCCATCCCAGGTATGACCGCCTCTGCTCTCTGTGAGTTTCCCGCTTTGAATTAATGCACCAAAGCTGCACCTCCTAATGCGCCTGAACAGCCCCTGACAACTCGCTTGCTTCCAGCCATCCTCATGATCGGTTGCCCACGCAAAGCTTAGTTTTGCTTTGTACCTATCTGTGCAGTGGGTTGAGATGTACTGGACCCCCAGCAAGGCTTGGCCAGGCATCCTGGGGCAACAGTCCCCGTGTCATCCAGCCTGAAAGGACTGGCGCTAAGCCGGTCCCTGGGACCCGTGCGATGGGAAAAGCCCCTGGCTCCAGCCAAACCTTGGAGGCTGGTTGAGTAAGGCTCTTTCTTTGAGACCTTACCGGCCCTCTGCCATTTCATACCAGGACCACTGGATTGTTGAAGCGCTTTCTATCTGACGCTTGCTTACTGCACAGTCATGTTCCAGATCTCTTCTCTGTCGGGACCCCAAGAGAAGGAAGAGACGGCACCCAATTAGTTAAAAGGCCTATCTTCCAAGGGCCCCTCAACTGAAACAAAGAGTAAATTGAATTACTTGAAACAGAGCAAGTGAGGAAAGTAGATGCCAGGAAACCCCATCCGCGAGAGGCAGTCTGATCTACCGGAGACCCCGTGACGTGAGCGGTTCTCCTAGGAGATGTAGAGCTGTTTCTAGGGACCCAGGACCAACGCAAGTGTGGGAATACATGGGAGTTCCGCTTGCCAGCCCAGCCACCTTGCCACTGATGGTTAGTCCCCCAACCAAAGTCTTCAGCACCTCTCTGTGCTTTCCCAGATCAGCCAAGGCCAGCCTCAGCCAGGAGAGCTGGACACAGACCGTTCGGCTTCAGCCTGTTGAAAAAGGCTGTTCCCCATAAACTCCCTGCTGTGTCCAGGCACAGGTGGAACATGTTCCAGCCCCCAGTGGCCTTGCTCTGGCCCCATCATGCCTGACCTGTCTCTAGTGCTTGCCTGGGTGTTCTGCTCAGTTACCGCAATAGCACTTCCCAGCGGGAAGGAGACCAGAAAGGGTACGGCCACCTGGGACACAGGCATGCCTGTGCGCAAGTCAGCGTGGCAAGGAAGTGGCAGCTGCGTGTAGCGGCCAGTGGCTGAGTGTGCATGAGTGTGCGTGTCTGCCAGACCCGGGAGGGCGTCCAGGGAGTTGACAGGTGGGTCTGAAACCAGAGGTGAGACACATCGGCTGGACCTCCCCACTGCATTGTCCGGGAGGTCCCCTAGCGCAGATGGTCAGCGGTGAAGGCCAGGCATCTGGGCGTGGCTGCGAGGAACGTTGTCACCACCCTGAACACGGTGTCCGTGCGGAGGCGGCCCTGCTGTCCTGTGCCACCCCTTTCTTTGTGCTCCTTGGTCAGTTTTGCATGGAAATCGACAGTCTGGCGTGTGTCTAGATGTGCCCAGCCTTTACGGGACACTCAGGAGCTGGGGGTGGGGCCGGGGAGACGCTCGAGCAACCCCTTCTCAGTGAGACAGACCATGCCACCAACATGTGTCTGGTGGCACATGTTGCCTAGGGCAAGCAACACGGGCAGGTCTCCTGGACACGCTGTGCTCACATGCTGGGTACGGCCCACAGCGTCAGCTCCTGGGCTTGCAGCAGGTGGGCACACCGTGAGTCAGACACAGAAAGAGGAGAAGACCTGCCCTGCCAGAGTCCTGCCCAGTGGAGATATCAGAGGCCTTCTCATTAAGGCGCCCCATCAGCCTGGAGAGGCTCAGAGGGACGGCTCACCTGCCGCCCACGTCTTAGAAGGAGGCAGTTCTGTGCTTGGTTGGACTTGGTGTTGGGATCTGTGTATAAAACCTCTGAACTACAAGATGTTCGTTCGTGGTGGCAGTCTGTGGTCAAGGGGGCAACAGAAGGTGAGGGGCGCAGGCGAGATGGTCTCGAAGGGCATCCAGGTGGGGGCCATGGCGACAGTGGAAGCAAGTCCCATCTATCGCTGAAAAAGCACAGTTGGCTGCACATGGCGCATCTCTTCCGCTACGTGTAGAAAGCTCTAGAGGCCGGGAGGCTGTGGGCAGGCTCGTTGGCTGCACCGGAGAGGCCTCACCTTAGTCAAGGTAACACTCTCCTAATCAAACTCCTGTATGTTACTGTGGAAACTCTGTTCTCTCACTGTAATTTCATCTGCTCGCTGACCCCTAACGCCCAAACTCACCCCGCTGCGCTGCTTCTGGCCTCGCTGAGCTTTGGAACTGGCCTTACCGGAATAATACCATACTGAACCCTTCCCTAACCTTTGCCAGTGTAATTTACTAAGTTGAATTAACCTTTGATTCTTGCGTTTTCTGTATTTGACCTAATTTTTTTCTTTTTATCTATTTTTTTTTCTCTGTTTCTGTCTCTGCCTTCTCTTTCCTCCTCCCCACTCCTCCCCTTCCTCCTGCGTCTGTCATCACACATATCACGTTGGACGTGCATCACTGGGATGTCCCCACTGCCACATTTGTTTTTAAACAACCACATTCTCTCTGGGCGCCATTGCTTGGGACCTTCAGCGACCTTGGGAGGCTGCTGTGCATCCTACACCTTTGTCTCATTGCTTCTCTCTGCGGTGACTGTTCTTTTGCTCTGTTAGGGACCTGAACACACGCACACACAAATTGAATTTGCTTAAATGCCCAGTTCCCATGAGAACGATCAGTTGCCCCCTTTGGAAGAACCTGTCAGGACTGCCACGGCCACGCCACCCAGCGCTCTGTGTGGAAGAGGAAGGTTTGGCGATTGGAAAAAGCCGGACCTCCAGACATTTTACCACTCGCGGATACTTCCATGCCGCTTCACGAGGAGCTTGTCCCCCTTTATAATGGCCGTGCAAAAATTTGCAGGAGCGCTTTTCTTTAAACACCATTTTTAAAAGAGCGTTATGCTAGTTTTACAGAGAAATTTCTGCATATCTCTGCTACGTGTTGCATTTTTTTGTTGTTGTTCTGACCTGAACATGATGTGGCAGAGGAAAACGTCAAAGTACCTCCTAAAGCTTGCATCAGAATATCTAGATCACCACATGTTCACCCCCACCCCCCATTCCAACCCCAGTCTCCCTCTCTGCCCTTCAAAAACATAGCGGGCTCTGCTGGCCCCCACGTGCTCACGGTCGGGGGCCAGACCACGGTGATGCATCTGAGCATTTTGCTGACGTGACGGGCAAAGTAAGTCACCCTGTTGCCTATAGGGTGGAAGAAATTGGATCCGTTAGGCATTTTCTGGGGCTGATCAGACGTTCTGGGAGGCACATTGGTCCTGGTATTACACCCAGCCCCTTACGCCGGTGCCGCGGACAGGACCAGCCCGCGATGTGCCCAGTACCAGCCGGCTTTGTAAGATGCACCTCTCCCAGTCAGAGGGATAATGCAGCTGCCCAGCACATTAGCACAGAGCCTCGCACCTTGGGGCTTCTGGTCCCACAGTGACCCACCGTGGTGCATAAACGTCTGTCCCCAGATTGGAAGTATCCACTGCGAGCCCAGCTTGGGTCATGAGCTCCCCGGACCCTCACACGCTCACCAGAGCAGATGGAGGGGGACAGGCCACTCCCAGAGTGTCCACACACTGCAACTCGGTCAGCCTGTCATACTTCCCAAATGCCCCAACTGCCCCCCCGCCCCATATTGGTTAGTGACCTCAATGACATTTTAAAAATTCTGGCGAAAGCAAGCTAGTTCTCTCTGCTCTTGGCTGAGGGGCGTCCTCTCCACGTGCCCAGGAGAGAAAGATGAGTGTGTTTGCTAAAGTCTCCCAGGGAAACCCGGCTGGGTCCCACTCAGCAACATCCTGTACTCCCCTGGGGGTGGACCCTCTGCTAAATACAACCTCCGTCCCTCTGTCCATTGTGGTCTCATGTCATTCTACACATCTCATCTCTACACATCCCACAGAAGTCTGATTTTTGTTCTTTTCAGTTTATTTTTTAGTTCCGTTTGGTTTTTTCTAATGTTTGAAGACTAGTCTTTCCCTTTGGGAATCCAAGGGACCCGAGGCTGGAGTTGCTGCTGGGCCCAGGCCCGTGTCCCCAGGGCTCACAGTTTAGAGGCTCAGGCACTGACTCCCTTCCAGCAGCTCAGGCAGGGAGCCCACTTGCCCCAGACCTGTGGGCCCCCAGCCCCACCTTGACCCTCTCCACCCGGGGTCCCGACCTGCCTTCACACCAGCACAAGAGAAGTGGGTGTGGTTCTGAGGCACAGGACAGAGCGTTGCTGAGATGTCCCTGGTGCCACCGGGCCTGGCATGGAAGTCCCAGGTCAGTTAGGAGCTGTAGGGAGGACGGAGGAAGGAGAGATCCATCCTCACCCAGGTGGCCCGTCACTGTCCTCCTGGCCTCTGGCCTGCTCTTCATTATCACCCTGGGCAGAAGTCACATGTTCCCCAGGAGGGCCGATCCGGGGGGTCTGCCCCAGCCCGGCCCCGGTCCTGCCCAGAGGGAAGGGACGCCTAGGGATCTAGCCCCACGTGTAGGGAGGCCTGACACAGCCCTGTCCCCTGAGCACACGCCTGGGTGAGGCAGGCCTCAGCCGAGGGCGCTTTGGGGCCACTGCGACAGGCCCACGCAGGCAGGCCCATGGTTTGCGACGGGACGCCTTTCAAGAGACAGTGTTAGGGAACACCCACCCACGCTGGGCACCGTCCTCAGTGATGGCCGTGGCCCCCAGCCCCAGCAGGGGTCCCCAGGACAGTGGCCCTTCGAGACCCCCACAGGAGTAAGCGCTTGCCGCCTCACTGGGCTCTCCCTGCCGCTGCGCCCCGCTCAGTGCCCGCCCCCCCCACCGCTGCAGGGTTTCTCTGCTCATTTCTGGAATATTTATACGGCAGGTTTGGATCATGTATGTTACTAATAAGAACGCTAACACTGTTGTATAGATAATCAGAGAGGCCTTTATGAAGTTTACACCTTTGCATTATTAAAGGAAGTAACAGTCCACGAGATCTTACCAGTGTGTTTTGATTTTATTTAATAGCTGTGTGTCCTACAAAGTGTCAAAAGTCCTTTCCCTCCTCTGCCTCACATGTGCCTGAATAACTTTGATTACCCCAGACCATACCCCAAACTCGTAGCCTGCTGCAGGGAGTTGTAGCGAAGGAGAGGCTTTCCTTTCCCGATGAGGGCCTATGCGTTGGGCTCCGCTCTCCTGAGAGCTCTGGTGGGCCATTGCATCCTTGGACTTTCCTAGTCCCTAGCAGACGGGGGGAGGGGGGGGGGAGGTGAGAGCCTTTGCAGAACGAGTTGCTGGTCACCTTGGGGTCAGGGACGCACTGTAGGCCACCAGACATACAGCCTCTGTATCCACGGCTCCTGATGTCACTGCTCCCATTAAAACCCCGTAGCAGAGACTGCACAGAGTGATCTTGTGATCAGTAGAATGTGAGAGAAGGTTCTCATTCCGTTTGTAATCACACTTAGTAGGACTCTTCCCAGACTTGAGACCAGCAAACCTGACCCCAGCTCAGGGGGAGGTCCCATGACACAATGATGCAGACCCATCTGGCGTCTGTAACACATGAGACCCGGCTTCCCATTGTGAGGCATTTAAGACAGACGCACGTAGGTCCCTGTCATGGGGTGGCCAGAGCCCCGGTCAGTGCCGACCCCTCCCGTGCCAGGAACCGCAGACGACCGACAGCCTCCGTCTCACAGCATCACCATTCGGGTGGCTGGGACCCTGGAGGTCATGGAGGGCCTGCTCTCAGGAATCCCTGTGCACGCGGGCGTGGGGCGAGCCAGGCACGGGAGGCCAGTGCAAGGTCATGCGAAGGCAGACCCCTGGACGGTTTTCATTTTCCCTTCTTACACAATGTCACGCAAGGTGCAGGAGGGAACCTTCATCCTCCTTGCTCTCCTGAGCGAACCAGTTCTGAACCACCCCCAGAGGGGATGAATGGTGACTTTCATACCCTCTCATGTGTTTCCGGTGTTTCCCTTACCTACAGCTTCTCTTTGTAAAAGTTGCACACGCCCTGTGAGGAGCGCCTTACTTCCCCTGGAAGTCTGTAAACTTAGTGGCGAACCGGGCGGTGCTTTTTCCTTCAGGGACAGCCTCTGCTCTCTCGCCATCCATTCCGTGCGTCAGTTAGGTCAGGGCCACGAGCTGAGACTCCGCAGCTCATCCTTGGGCCGGGAGTCCCGGGCGCCTCAAACCCTACTCTGTGTGAGGGTCACCCGGGCCGCTCCGCCAAACCCCGGTCCCCGAGCCTCGCCCCCAGAGACCCTGATTCAGTAGAACTGGGGAGCCCCAGAGTCTAAATATAAAGCACCCCAGGAATTCTGCTGCAGATGCACCAACATTATGCCAAAAGGTGTTTATTTTTCACGTGAAAATAAAATCCCGGGAATCAGTGAATAAAAATGGGACCTACTGAGTATTCTTGTCTTCTAAGAAGTCCTGAGTTCTCAGTGCAGAGGATCTGGACCGCGTGTGACACGGGATGGCGGGCCCCTGTGGTTGAAGGGGGCCATGGAGACACCTCTGTCCCCGGCCCTGCCCCGCACAGGGACCTCGTCCAGAGCACCACGGTGTCCCTGCCAAGGGCTGTCCAGCCTCCGCCTGAATGCCTCCAGGCACAGGGCGCTTTCCTGCCGAGGCAGCTGACACTCCGCTAGTTCTGTCCCCAGGGGCTGAAACCACCCCCGACCCCAGTAGTTTCCATCCAGCGGTGGTGACCAAGTAAGACTGCCCCTCCCGTTTCACGACACATCTGTAAACATCTGCAGATGGCGTTCTCATCTCCAGACTCAACGCCCACTTCTTTTTTTGACAAATATTCTTTGAACATTTCCTGTGAGTCGGGTTGTGCCAGATGCTGGGGAGACCTCAGACAGAGAAACTGGTAGAACATTCCAGAGAGGCCAGCCAGATAAAATGCATTGTGAGTGAACAGAAAGCGGCAGGTAGAAGTAAGAAGAGAAGAAAGCTGATAATGCGGTAGATGCTGGGCAGAGGAAGAGATCAGGGGGCGGAGGGGGAGGGCTCTCCAGCAGGGAGACATTTGAGCCGAGGCCTGGAGGACAGCAGAGAGCCACCCAGGAGGTTACGGGGCTGGAGTGTTCCCAGCAGGGGTCAGCAAGGCCCTGAGGCAGGAACGGGCTGGGTGTGTGCAGCGGATAGAATGAGGGCCCTGGCCTGGGGCACAGGGATGGCGGTGGGGGCCAGTGCCGTGAGGTGTGGGAGAGTCCGGACATGTGCAGGGCCTTTAGGCCGGGAGGAAGAATCTGAATTTTGCCTCAGAGAGAAGGGAAGCCCTTCTCTGTCTCAGGTCACCAGGGTCTGTGTCCCCTGGCCCTTCCCCGAGCGCGCCCGTGGTGCTGGCCCGCAGAACCCAGGCAGCCCTCCGGCCGGGTCCGACGAGGCCAGAGCACATGGGGGACAGCGGCTGCCTCTCCCACGCCCAGAGTCCCCTTCCCGTGGACTGTTCGTCCTCCTCAGAGGCCCAATCGGTCCCCTAAAACCACACTTCCGTGTAAACCTCAGAATGTAGCGTTCATGCCATTGAGTCCAAAAATACAAACGTTCTCCCCTCCCCCAAATACCTTAGGCTCCTTCCTCGGGAAGTAGGCACGCGACACCTGTTGGGCAGCGATGTCACCAGGCGGCAGTGGCTTCCAGCCCAGTGTCGTGGGACAGAGAAAAAGTCCAAGGCTGATCATTCCCCCTTGGCCAGGGCACCAGCTTTGGGATTCTGAAGATCAGGAAGGCCTGCGTGCCTCTTTGCTTGTCTGGGTGGAATGTCTGAGGCCCCGGAAGAGAAGAATGCCGCTCTCGCGGGTCACAGGGGCCAGCCGTCAGTTTCCTGCTGCCGAAGTCCAGGAGCTGGGTCCTCTGAGCACAGAGCCCTTTGCCAGTCTTGGGGCCTTCCCGGGGACAGGCTAAGGTGTTCAGTGCGGGTTGGATGGCACCAGCCAGAAGTCCTGAGGTGGAAACACTGGGAAGCAAGACCAAGGGCCCAGAGAAGCCAAAATTACTCAAGAATTTGAGACTCCTCTCCAGCTATAAGGCCCAGCTGCACCCTGGGCACGATGAGTGAAGTTAGGACGCCTCATCTGTGGCATGCCGGGCTGACGGTCTGTAGCCTGAATTAAACTTTGAAACAGAAGTCATTGAGGTGGGCCCACCGCTGAAGAGGCTCGGTGGTACATGAGCAGGGACCCCTGGGCTGACAGAAGAGCGCCCCCCGGGAACACAGACTGCATGGGAAAAGAAGAGCAGGGCCCGTCTGTAGCACCTGTCACCTTGGACAACACGTTCCTCCATTATCCGAGGTGTACATGGCTAGCAGGCCGCGGGGCCTGTCCTGGGGCTCAGCAAAGCCACCGTGAGGCCCAGATAGTGCTGGCCACATTCCTGCCGCCAGTCCACGGACCTGGGGGATCCCCATGGGTCCTGGCAGTACAGGAAGCTTCAGACGAGGTCTGGTGCTGGGGTGGAACAGCCAGTTCTTGAACTCTGTCCTTCCGGAAGAAGAAAACCAAAGCGGATGTGCTCATGTTTCAGTCTGAAGTCATTGTCCCCACATTGGCTTACACACAGAGCTCTGCATGGGTCCTCGCTGCCCCCAGCACAACCTCTTATCTCCCAGACGCTGGAGAGGGGCACCAAACAGTCAGGGGGCCACCTCAGGCAGCTGACAGTGACACAGGGGCCTGGGAGCTGAGCCCGGAGTCCTTCTCTGGTACCATCAATACCCCCAGGGCCCTGGGGAGCAGGACAGAAGTTGAGTCATTCAAAGCAAGCCCAGCCAGAATGGGCGTGCCGTGTCCTGCTCGAGCGGGAGATTAGGTTTCCGTCCATAGTGGGCACGGAGGATGTTTGCATGTGAGTGTGCCTGTCCGTGTGGGTGGGCGTCTCTGGGTGAGTCTGCTGGGCTTCCTGAAGTCTGAGCCAAGTGAGCCTGAGCTCCCAGATGGTGAGTATTTCCCAAACCTTCCATCCTGGGCAGACCTCGTTTGTCTCCCTGGGTGCAATGAAGGAGGATGAGCCATGAAGCCAAGGGCCACTGTCCCATGTCGGGATCATCTGGAGCTGTCTGTAAAGAGGGAGAGGAGGTGGGGTAGTGTACTGGGCGCACTGCTGTGCCTCGTGACAGCACAAGCACAAAGGAAGCCTTGGGAACCCTCTGCCACCCCATTCGGGACCCTGTCCCTGACTACCCCCAGGAGCCATGGTCTAGTCCGAAACCTGCGACCGCCATCTGCCTGCCTCCCTCCGGGGCTCACGGGGAGATGAGCTAAGTATGGGTCCGGGGGAGGCTCAGAGACTGAGCCTCAGCAGGGATGGAAATACAGCTCCTAGTCCCCACTGTCCTCCTGACTCGTGGGGATCTCACGCCCCTGCCCCCGGTCTGTGAGGTAAGGCTGCCATCCGCCCTCTTGAAGATACAAAGAGACTGTTGTCTCCACACTGGCGTGTAGAAAGGCCCCACGGAAGGTGCCACTCTTGACCCAATGCCGTGACTTTGTCCTCTGGGTTCCACCCCACCCCCCGAGGAGTTGCTCTTCAGGGTCCAGGAGTCTGCACGTCAGCGTATTAACCGCCAGCCATCTCTCTCTGTCCCTCTCTCCCTCCCTCCCTCCCTCCCACCCAAGCCAATGGCAGCCCTACATCAGGCCTGAGCACCGGGGCCATCGTGGGCATCCTCATCGTCATCTTCGTCCTGCTGCTGGTGGTGGTGGACATCACCTGCTACTTCCTAAACAAGTGCGGACTGCTCATGTGCATCGCCGTCAACCTGTGTGGAAAGGCCGGGCCCGGAGCCAAGGGCAAGGACATGGAGGAGGGCAAAGCTGCCTTCTCGTGAGTGCAGATCTGATTCACTGCTAGGGTCTAGGCTGTGCCCTGGGCGGAGGGGGCGGGAGGCTTCGCATCAGAACCACCTCGGTTTCCCCGTTTGGAAACCCCAAGGGAAAAAAAAAAAAAAGCATTGGAGAAATGTTTCTTAAAACACAGTCTTTGAGGGGTTCTGTTTGAAAAGCAAACCTGCATAGGTTTTGACCTGCACAGGTCAAAATGAGAGGAATTTTCAGAGCTAAATAAACCTGGAGGGGGCCTGCCATAGCATTTGAGAAACACACTTGCCTCACTGTCATTCATTCATGTCCATATTCATTCAGTCATTCATACATCACTCAACAAAGATTTACTGAGCAGCTAAAACCGGGTCAGGCTCTATTCTCAGACGCTTGGTTATACCTGTGAACAGAACAGGTAAAAATTCCTGTCCCTTTGGAGCTGACGGTCCAGATGCTGTCCCCTCCAGCATCTCTGGAGAAACCAGCCCTGAGCCAATTAGCAGGAGGCTTCCCAGACTCGCTGGGTGGGGCTGAGCTGGAGCGAGGTGAGAAGAGGCCGAGCCGGGAGTAAGCTGTGAGCACCGTACGGGGCAGGCCCTGTCTGTAAATACAGATGATCTGAGCGCATCTCTGTGCCAGGCACTGTGCTCAGCACTTGACATTCATGTCTCAGTTAAGTTTACAACAGCCAGGCGAGGTAGAGACTGCTACTTGGCCGGTTTTACAGATGAGCAGACCGAAGCTAAGGTGAGCCAATCAGATGTGCACGGTCACACAGCGAGCACGAGTGGGAGCGGAGGCTCGGGCACTTGGGCCTGAGATGCCCACGCCCCCCCATCAACTTTGGGCCAGACCCAGGAGCCCTGAGCTGCAGCCAGCTTCCCTGGGAGCTGCCTTCCTGCCCCAGCAGCCCGGGATCAAACCTGCAAAACTGTCTCCCCAGGAAAGACGAGTCCAAGGAACCCATCGTGGAGGTGAGGACCGAGGAGGAGCGGACCCCGAACCACGACGGAGGGAAACACACGGAGCCCAACGAGACCACCCCGCTGACGGAGCCCGAGTACGTGGGCGGGGAGGGGCTGCCCCTGGGCTGCAGAGCCCCACACTCACCTCATCGCTCCCCCCACCGCCCCGCACCTCCCATGCCTCCCACCCACCTCCCCCAGCCCAACGGTGCAGGCCAGCTTCTGGAGCCCGTGGCCGGAAATGCCTGGCCCCACTCTCTCGCTAGAGAGAAGGCATTCCTGTTCTGTGAAGAGCCCGCAGGTGCTCTGAAAGGTCTCCGAGGGCTGAGCGGCTCCTCTAGACCCTCTTCCCGAGTCACACGCACACCCTGCAAGTGGCCGAAGGGGGCACCAGCTCACCGAGTGGGGCTCTGCACTTTGAGAGGCTCAGCAGAATCTGTGTAGGAATTTCGAGAGCTCTAGCGCTTTCTGCGTTCCTCCTGGAAGGGTGAGAGGAGGTGGGGATGCGTGAAGCTCCCTGGCCCTTCTGCTCTCAGAAGCCTGGGGGACCCTCAGTCAGAAACGGTGTCCGGCTGAGGTGGCCGTGACGGCCGGGCCGACTGTCGTGAGCACTGGGGCTTTGAAGGGAGCGGAGTTTAACGGGGATTTCGTTTAAATGTCCGGCTGGACAGCCCGTGGCTGCTGGGAACCTTGGGAGCGAGCACTCCTCATCTGCCGCATTCCCGACCTTCCCCGTCACCGCCCGTGGAGCCCATAGGACACGGGGTCCTTGACACCAGCAGTGGTGGACGGCGAAGTGAGGCCGCCTCTCCTGGAGTAGGGGTGCAGGCAGGGGGCAGACAGGGCTGCAGGGAGAGGCAGCGCGGCGCCGAGAGCTGGCGGGCGTCTTCAGGGAGGAAAGGCCAGCGGGTCTGTGTCTCCTGTGTCCTCTTATGCCCGCCTGGGCCTCTGCTTCCTCTCGCTGTCCTCCTTTCTCTGTGGGCCTGTGTCCGTGCCTGTGCGTCGCTGCATGCCCTGCCCCCGAACCCCTCCCCGGCTGCGGCCCCCCTCGCCCACCCCGGCCTCTCTGTCTCGTCCCAGCTTCATTGTCGATTCTCTTCTACTTCCTGTCCTCCCCACAGGCTGCCGGCCGACACCACAGCCACTGTCGAGGACATGCTGCCTTCTGTCACCACCGTCACCGCTAACTCTGACACTATCACCGAAACCTTTGCCACTGCTCAGAACAGCCCCACCAGTGAGACCACCACCCTGACCTCCAGTATTGCCCCCCCGGCCACGGCCACGCCCGACTCAAACTCTGTGCCCGCCGGCCAGGCCACCCCTTCCAAGGGGCCGGGCGCCGCAGCCCCCTCCCCGCCCCCAGCTTCCGCCCCCAAGGTCGCTCCCCTCGTTGACCTGAGCGACACCCCGGCCTCAGCCCCTGCCGCCAGCAATCTGTCTTCTAGTGTCCTGGCTCACCAGGGGGCCGTGCTCAGCCCCAGCGCCCCTCCCGGGGAGGCCGCCAAGGCCCCTCCAGCGAGCAAGGGGAGCCCCACAGCGGCCGGGGCAGCCGGTCCCCTAGCCGCAGCGGCCGCCCCTGCCACGGCAGCCCCGCAGGCCAAGCAGGAGGCTCCGAGCACCGCAGGCCCGGACCCCGAGCCCACCCAGCCCGGCGCCGCGAAGAGCCCGACCGAGGCAGCCGCGGCGGGCCTCCGCAGCCCGAAGAGCGAGGCTGCCTCAAACCCCGCCCAAGGCGAGGACTTTAAAATGGACGAAGGGAACTTCAAGACCCCAGATATTGACCTTGCCAAGGATGTTTTTGCAGCCCTGGGCTCTCCTGCTCCCACCGCTGGGGCCAGCGGACAAGCCCCCGAGCTCACCCCTTCCACTGCAGACAGCTCTGTTTCGCCTGCACCAGCAAAGACCGAGTACGGCCTTCTCTCTGTCCACTGTCGTCAGGTTCTGTCCCGTGGTGGTGTGCGTCTGTGCTGTGTCCTTTCTGTTCCATGTGTCTTCAGCCTGTTCCAGGGCTTCTCTGAGGCGACCTTCAACCAGGGGGCTGGGATGAGGTGGAGAGAGCGGAGGGGGGAGGACAGTGCTCACTAATTAGGCCATGTTAATTATGTCTTCTCCTTATCATCCCAGCAGCGGCTTCTGCTTTCCCTGGGGTGGAGGGGGGTGGGGGCCCTGCAGTCGGGCCCTGATGAGTGCAGCTTGGGAAATGAGCCAAGGAGGCCAAGGTGCCCTTATCAGCACCCCCGGGACCCACAGACAGTGTGTTACCCAGTGTCCAGGCAGAGTTCCCCAGGAACGGCACTGTTATGCAGGAAGAAAAGAGGCAGACCCCCAAGGCCCATGTGGGGAGAGGATGTGGTCCGGAGGGCCCTGTCCCACGCGGCCCAGATACCCACAGCCCCCACCCCCACCCCCAACCACCACTACCGCCTACTCTGGCTTCTCCGAACCTGGAATGGCTAGGTAGAGTCAGAGCTCACGAGCGCCGACTGACTGTTGGGTCTCCCAAGTTCAAGGGAACGTCCTTAAACTTAGCAGATTCTTAAATGTGATGCCAAAATGCGGCTGGAACTGGGGTCTGAGGCTGCTTGCCCCAGTGCATCCTTAGACCCAACTTTTCTTCACTCCTGAGGCCAAAGAAGGCAGAGCAAGACGTAGATTTTTATCGAGGTTCCTGTGGCTGCCCCCACATGAGCGATGTGGCACCACCAAGAGCTGAAATGGGATTTTCCCCAGGAGCCCTGAACTCCAGGAAGTAGGGCTCTGCTCTCCTGCCCACTCAGCACCCCCCTGACCCCCCCAACTCCTCTGTCCCCAAGTGTAGTGTGACATCCCAGTCTAGCCTCTCAGGGAGCAGAAAGCTTCCTCAGCACAACACTTTCTCACCCTGGCCAGGCCCGCCCTTGGGTGCGGTGGGAGGGGGCAGGCAAAAGCAAGGTGGCTTGCGGAGGGGCCCCTGGGGTCTGTACTGGGGAACCAGCCCAACATGCCTCCTTTATACCAGCCTGAGTAATTATGCCAATCATACCGATGGGGGTAAGGAGCAGGCACATCTGCTGCCCCCTCCCACCAGCCCAAGTAAGGCCCCTGGGGCCCTGGCATCGGATTAGGGCTGGAACCGGGAAGGTCTCATTCCTCAGATTCAGTGGCTCTCAACTTTGGCTCCGTTGTACAGCCACTTGGGTGCTTTTAAAAGTCATCACGCCCAGACCAATTAAATCGGGATTTCTGGGGGCAGAGCCCAGGCGTAAGGGATGCTTAGAGCCCCTGGGTGATCCAGCGCGCAGCTGAGGACGGAGACGGCTGCTCTAAGCTGGAGCCCCTGGCGCGGGACTGGCCGAGGGCTGAGTGACGGCAGCCTGTGTTCTCAGTGCTGTTTTCCCAATTCTCCGCAGGAAAGGCCCCGCAGAAGCGAAGTCGGAGAGCCAGGAGACAGAAACGAAACCAGCGCCAGCCGAAGTCAAAACGGTCCCCAACGACGCCACACAGACAAAGGAGAACGAGAGCAAAGCATGATGGGTGACGAGAAATGAGCAGATCAAAGTAAAAGTGACACCATAGCTTCACCAGAGCATTTCCAATATCACACACACACACACACACACACACACACACACACACACCTCATTCCTCTAGTGTCTTTTGCCTTTAAAAAAAAAAGTAAACAGATAAACACGGGATCTCCTTTTTGTAGGTTTATAAAAAGGGTTCCTTTGCTGCGCACTCACTTGTAAGAAAATGAGACAAAAAGGTTAAACCCACAGCCAAACTAGGACACTCCGTTCCCTGAAACCATTTAAAAATCAAACAAAAGGACCCCAAATTAAGAATCTAGGAAGCTCAGAAAGAAAAAGAAAAAATCTAGGTTCAGGAAGACCACACTTGGTGTTGCCCAATTGGCACCGACCAGTTTCCGAGAAGTGCTTCCAGGCACTGAGACTAACGAATGAACAAAGTCCAAGTTTATTTTTATACTTTGAGTCGAGTTTGAACTCTGTAAAGCCCCACAAATAAGTTATCATTTCTGTTCACTTTGTATCTGTTCAGTATGCAAAGTGTGTCACCCTCTCTAGCTGATTGCGATTCCCACGTAGACTCTCGTTCGGTAGGAAGAATGCCAAATTACAGCCTCCGGGGGCAGATCTAAGTTTGCAATATTCGGATTGCTTTCTCGTCCCTTTTCCTTCTCTCTCTCTTTTTGTTTTTCCTTTCTGCCAACTTTGTTTTCCAGTGTTTACAAGTTGACAATTGCTTCACTTTGGTTGTGTTTAAATGTCCATGTAAAATAGCTGCCTTTTTTTTTTAAGTTACAAATACTGCCTAGAGGCGGACAGACTCCTCACAGGCTTGTTCTCGTGCAGGACAACTTTATAAACTATGATTGTTTACAGTGGCTCTTCCCCCCCCCCCCCCCCCCCCCCCCCCCCCCTCATTCTGATTTGAAATTTTTGCCTGTGAGCAACTCAGGTGAAAATCCCATCTCCTCCTGGAGTGGTTTTTCTTTTTTCTTTTTTTTTCTTTTNTTTTTTTCTTTTCTTTTCTTTTTTTTTTTTTTCCGCCTCTTGGTTCTTTTTGTATTTCCTGGGGGGTTAGACCACTTTCTGAGTAGCCACCACCTGCCTGTATCTGTGAAAAAAATCTGCCCCCTAGGCATCTGCGTCCTTCCTTTTGAAGGAAGGACTCTGTAGGCTTTGTTGAATGAAGCAGAGAAGATTGTACAGTTGTGGCTGGTCTTGGTGAACACACATTTTTACCCCAAACACCCCCTTTTTGTAGAAAGCCAAATAAAATGTATACATACGATTTCCTTTTGAGCCCAGAATCTAGATTTGAGCGGAAGAGCGTGCGTGCTTCAGGGAATTAGTGTCTTTTTTTGGAAGTCTGTTGAAGTAAAGTAACATCGGCCTTCTGTTCACTTAGGCAGCATTTATAGAAACAAAAGAAAAAAGAAAAAAGCCGACCTGCTGTCTGGAGTCATAACACAACATTCCTGGATCGGAAACCAAGTGGGGGAAAAAAAAATACAGAAACTTTAAGGGGGATGGGAGGGGGGAGAAGGGAAAAGCCAGCCCTTTGTATAGAAATTTTGCTTTTTTTTTTTTTTCTCATTCTACTTTAGAACTGCAAGCTTGTGCACTGTGGATGCGTGACTATTTTAGTGTGAAACGTGTTTTTGTCATAGTATTGAAATAAAACTTCAACATAGTTTGGTTGTGGAAGGTATAGCAGATAGTTCAGAAAAAAAAATATTCAGGAAACAAGAATAACTCTTAAAAGGAATTGAAGCCTTTACACAAAGAAAATGAAGGAAGCGTGATTTGGGTGATGAAGAGGGCGCTAAGGCGCAGCACTGGCGCTCCGGCAAACACTCCCGTCCCCCGGTACAAAACCACAAAGCGAGTAGGGTGGTGAGACTCCCCCAAGTCTGCCCTCGGGCCACACTCCCCAACGTTCTGACACTTCTGCAGTCTGATCAGTGACGATATGCTAAGGTTATAATTTCAAACTGTGAAAAAATAATGGTCTTGTCATTTGCTAAATGTGGGGTTATGTTGCATTTTCTCAGCTCCTGGGGATGGAAATGGAGGGTCCCGCGTAGCCAGCCCCGGCCCCTTTGATTGTAGGGCTTGCACAAATCTGTGGTTCGAATGCACAGGCCCTCGGGCACGAGTGACATGCAGACAGTTCCCTGAGCACAGAGCAGAACGGGGGGGGGGGGGGGGGGGGTGCTCCTGGGTGCCTGAGATGGGGAGGGCCCAGCAGGGAGGCTGTCCGTGGAATCAGTGGTTCACCTTCTGACGTTCCTGGCGTTGACTACCCAGGCCGCGCCCGTGCTATACCTCACCGAGTCTGTGCATTTCACACCGACTGGCCTTGACCAGGCACATTGACCTTGGTTCTAATGGTTAGAGAAAGAGGTATAGCTGACCCTCAAATAACCAGGCCCGGGGGGGCAGCTGATACCCCCACCCACCCACCCAGAACCCTGGCTCCGCCAACAGCTGGCATCCAAGAGTCTGCCCACCTTTTGGTCTGCCTCTCTTTCATTATGCATAGATTTGTCTCCGCATGCATGAGCTTTCCTTTTTCTGTTAAACAAAAACAAGTTAAAAATTTTTTTAAAAAGCAAAAACAAAGAAAAACCACCCAGAGCAGAGCTTTCTCTAAAATCAAAGAGGGAGTCACTTTATTTTCAAGATGTTCTATCTTTTATGTTAAGAGATAAAAGCTTATAGTTTTCCTTTTTTAATTTTTTGAAGGCGGGATCAACTCTACCAGTTTCCAATGTCTATGTGTCTATATGTGTATGCGCCATACATATGTATTCACATAAATAGCGGCATGGCCACGTTCTGCTGGAGGGGCACCCGCGTGCCACGCACGGGGTCTCGGAACCCTGGAGGGGCCTGGTGTACATAGCGTAGCTTCTGAAGTGGGACTGTATTTTCACACTTTTCTACGGAGCCCTTCCAAGCCCCAGGTTTTCACTCGAGGCTGTCTGTCTGGATGGTGGTTTTCAGACCTCCATTAACATCCCTACCCAGCATTCCATACTTCGGGGGCCTTCTCTCTTGTTACAAACTTTTTACCAAGTGAAAACATCAATACCACCTTTGTTTCCATTCTGACTGGTGTAAATACTGAGTACTAACTGAGAATTTTGACTTTGCATTCTGTCGGAATACTTGTGTTCAATAAAAATTGAAAGAAAAAAAAAGTTGTTCATGGTCAAACTGGGATTTATTTCCATTCAATGAGTCTGTCATGTGAATCACATGGGGAAATTCCAGGGATATTTTTTTTTGACCTTGGGAGCAAGGGCAGTTAACACAGGGTCTTGAGTTCACGTTGTCTGAATGACGGTTTCCAATTTTTTCTCTCAGGTTGATAGAGGAATCCTCGTTCTTAGAATGGCCAGCTGTCAGATTCGGACAGATTTCATTCAGATCCTGGTTCTTCACTTCTTTGTTGACCTGGGAAGAATTCCTTAATCTCCCCAAGAATCAGTTTCTTCTTTTGACAGACAGGAAACACCAAGCGAACTGAGCTGAGGTCCTGGTTAATGAGTGAAGCAGAGTGTAGGACTGTCCTGGCACATAGGTACTCAACAAATGGGGGGTAGTGCTGGTGGCACCCCAGATGTGTGAACACATCAAACCCAATCTATACCTGAGCTTCAAGGTTTCAACATGGAGGTAGGTGCCTGGAGCTTATTCCAGGATACACGATGCTTCTCCTTCTTAGTTTGCCATGCCTCTCAGCTCTTGGAGTTCGTTAAAGTCTCTGAGCTAGAGAGAGTAAAGAGAACTTCACCCCACTTAGACTTCTCTTGCATATGCTGCTGTCCAGCGGTGTTGAGAAGAGCCGAGAGTTGGAATTACCTATTAAACTGGAATTGGAAGTTTCTGGAGAGGAGCAGGCCCCAGGCGCAGGGCTAGGATGAGGCAGGTGAGTGAGTCTTCTAAGGAGTGAGAGGTCAGGACGCCCTCTCTCTAGGCCAGTCCTGCCGCTGCATGGGTCTGAGGCATCTCTTCTTTTATGTCCTGTGTGCCTCTCCCTAACCCTAGCCTGGGGTGATGTCTTCCTCTGGGGTGGTATCTGCATCCAGCCCCAGGAATTGTCCCTCTTCTGGCCCTAGAGCCCATTTCAGTGACCCAGAACCACATGTCATCTATGTGGTTTCCTGTGCCACCAACGTCCAGCTGCATTGGTAAGGTAAGGAATGATAAACAAAAACTGACGTCATGAAATGATGACCTTCTCTCTAATGATCCATGAGGGCTTGCTCTCAGAGCCTTCTCTCTTCCTTCAGGCTAGTCTCCTCCCAGATTCACTCAGTATTCACTGAGTGTCTCCAAGATGCTTCAGATACAGCGGTGAACAAAACAGTCCAGCGGAATGTTAGTTCCAGTGTGAGGTGGGTTGGACAATAAGCACCCGGACGCCTACCACACTGCAGTGGTCACTAGGGCTAGTCACCAGTATTCCAGCTCTCCTTTCCCTCCTTCCAGGTCCATGACACCATAGGACGATACTCCTCTGGTCTCCTGAAGTAGGCATGGCTGTGTACTTAGTTTGGTCAACAGACTATGAGCAGGGCAGTGCATGTCACTTCTAGGCAGAGCCTCGAAGCCATGCGGCAGGTGATGCAAGTGCCTTCACCTGGGCCCAGAATGAGGACTGTGAACACATGAGCCATGATGGACATGGAGTGCACATGAAGGGTAACCCCAGTGGCGATCTGCTGAATGTCTAATAACCAGTCCCCCAAGGAGGAATAGGAGGGAGGGCACATATAAACATACGTTGTGTGTGTTTATTATGCACTTTACTGAGACAGAGTGCAATTTACCAACCATATACCATGCTCTGTATCGAAATACTATGTGTCCCACGTGCAGAATGCTTTGGTACATTGTTGCTGAACTCTTCTCCAGAGTCAGCCTAAGGTTACGATTAGGGAAGGAGTGTCCTCCCAACAAGAATAGGGGGTGATCTATTCACTTGTGTTAACAGATGAGATGGAAGTGAAGCAATGAAGATCAGTGTGAGGGAACTTCGCTTGTCCATCACTGGTGGGAGTGACCCATGCTGAGCCGGGTAGGCATTTTGAAAACCAGGATATGGCCTCAGTGTTCCTTGCTAGCCATAGTGGAATGGCTGCAGACGCGGCATATTTGTAAGTTTAATCTACATCGTAAATATTTGCCCCTTCACTATCAAGTTTAGACAAACACCAAAAATCAAACCAACCCTATTTGTAGATTTGTAGCATTTACTGCTTCCGGCGGTGTGTAAATATTCCCTACATGGCCAATGTCAATGTGTCACCAGAAAACAAGGTGTGCAGCACGGTATTACCATAATGTGGCACAGCGTCACACAGCAGATTTCTACCGAGAAATAACCTCCAGCACAGAGAAGATACTAGTATGCAGTACTAATAACAGTAACTACCAATCTACATTCATAATAGTAAAAGGTAGTAAAATAATTGGGGAACGATGCATTTTGAGTATAGCTTGCCTTTATTTTAAACATAATTTGGCTGATTGTAGGCTTATGCCATTTAAGTTTTAATAACAAGTGGCTCATGAATTTCCTGAAAATCTAACGATTCACTCAAGGCGGTAAAGGCTGGCTCCAGTATACCACTGGATAGCTCTTTGTGCTGTCAGCCACCTAACCTTCAGATCTGTTACCATAGCATGATTTAGTCTATCACGGCTCAACACTGAGTGGTGAGTGCCACAGATAACAATAAACCCAGGTGAGGAGGAGGTCAGAGTACTCTCTGAAAAGGCGACATTTGAGCAGTGACCTGAAAGAAGTGAGGGACTGAACCACGCGAATATTTGAACAAAGATATCTCAGGCAGGGAGGTAGCAAGTGCAAAGATCCTGGGGTGGGGCTGCTCAGTGTGCTTGGGGAAGAGCGAGGAGGCTATTGTGGCTGGAGCAGAGAGCAGGGATGGATGGGACAAAGATATCCAAGAGCGAGATCACATAGGGTCTGAAGATGACTTAGAATTTTAGCTTTTTTCTTCAAACGAGATGGAAAGCAAGAGAGATATTTTGAGCAGAAGCCTGATGTGACTTGGTTTTTGACATGATCAATCTGGCCACTGTGTGGAGATGGCACGGGAGGGCCAGCAAGGAGGTGAGGATACCAATTAGGAGGCAATAATCTAGATGGGGCATGATGGTGTGCTTGGGAGCAAGCTGGTTCCCGTGGAGAGTGGATAGCCCAACTCCCGTTACATCCCAAAAGTGAAGCTAGCAAGATTGGATAAAATGAATTGG